CAGTTGCGTCTATTGGTTGGACAGATTGCGGAAACGGGTTTCGAGATGAAAGTCTATCACAAAGTTCTGCATCCATTTTACAGTTGAGATGAGAATATTTGAAATCTTAAAAGTTGAAAATTGGAGTAAAACTAATTATGTTGTCCATTATGTCAACAAACTTAACACTTAAAAATCATTATTTACGCATACACATAAATCTCTGAATACTAAGAGTTGATGCCATTTTATAGCGCCGATCACTCTCCATCACATTTCTTCGAATTCATGAAGACGAAAAAGCTGTTTATCTCAATGGGACAGAAGTTTTGCTCCCGGATAAGGGATTTTGACAGCATGTCAATAAACAGGGTGAATCCATATTGTAACGATGTGACATTATCTGCGTACAAAGCCCAACCCACGTGGATAAGATGGAAAGACAAGCACTTTTACAACTCCGGATACTAAGCCCTTCTTTCAGGGACAAGCGTCCCATTCTTCCAATTTCATCCAATGGCTGAACCACCTACATTTCACTAGCCAAACGTAGACCCTGATTAAATATTTTCGGAACACTTTCCTGACTTCATAAGCTCAACCCTAATAATCGGAAGCAATTTCACTATAGTGGAACACCCGCTTTGTTTAATGATTCTACTCTTGTGTTACAAATCAAATATTAATGCATCCGATGTGATGTTAGCTGCACAACTAAGATAATTCCCAATTTGCACTTCTGTTGATAAATTTAATTGAATGAAGAGTCAGTGCCGACAAAAAACAGGAATAATGATTGCAAGGGTCGCATTATAGTTAGATTGCAAAACTGGAATAATATCTTGTTTAAGTACAAAAGGTATAGCTTGTCCGAATTTTAAGCAGATAATGTCCTGGCACGCACAAATACGCACTGAATAATTTGACATCAATTCCAAAATTCACATGGGTCCCCATCCTGGAACTTGAGAACCGCATGAAGAGAGGGGAGTTTACAGAATGTCTGGCTGCTTATTTGTTCAGGCAAACATGCTACGACCTGAGAGAAAGGGCATTGGACAAAGATATGTTCAAGGGGCACTTGTGTTACGAAGATTATTTGAACAGACAATTCTATTCATGAGATTCTAGCCCCCAAATAGATCTTTTTATGTATTTTTCAATATTACAGTGATTTTACAGAAACTCGAATTTCTGCATAAATTTTCACGCTTAAAAAAGTATGAAAACTGTTTTGTCACTACCCTAAGTTCCCCATGTTTAGATAACCTATTCATTTTCTTACTGGTACTATCTGAAGTCCCATTCTGGCTATGACACTTGGATATCCATGACATTTTAGCAGGCCCAACACTAACATCAATCGTTACAACATAAAAACAGGGCTTACCAATTGATAATTCTTTTTTTACTATAGACCGTTGTTTTTGGGGTAGATGTAAGTAAACACTGATTGATTAAAGGTTAAGAACATTTGGCAGCTAAATGGTGAATAATTAATATTTACATTTTATGCAGTGTTTGAATGTCTTGCCACAATTTGAGAAGAATGTCGGCATTTCCAAAGTAGAAGCTCTGGAATGAAAGCACTTTTGTTCTCATAATGTCTGTGAACGGATATGTGATGTGAAAACGTTCCGAGTAAAAAAGGAGGTAAAAGATCAAGCGCATGTATGAGCTTTTAATTACAAGACACCACCAATAAACTAGTCTAACTTTGGATAAACTATTTTTCTCCACTGATTTGGGTAAGCAAGCGAGTTTTCTTAAGGATAAAATAAGCCTTCTGAGGAAACGAGGGTATTTTTTCTGTGAGACACGTAAATTCCGCATGGCCTTTTCCAGTTTAAATAAGCTCGAGACGCATTGTGATTTGAAGCACAGAATAGTGAGAGCCATCCGACCAGAATACAGTAAAGCGCATATAGCAGATAGGAATCATGAGTTATTAATATAAGACCAATAACTCTGAAGTTGATAGATTTGGAAGCAACTCTAATAGCTTTGCAATGTGTCATTTGAGAAAACTACACTCCTACGTTTACACACTTTACGTACCTTTCATGCTATAATTTCAGAAAAATTATTTGCCATCACTGATGTTTGACATAAATTCTTGGCAAGAAGTAGCTTCCGTGCAGTCTGTGTTGCCATATTATAAACGAAAGAGAGCTGTCTTAAAATCCAGAAGGTTTGGAGTTGTTACATTATGCATTCTAGCAGTAAACAAAAAGACCAAATTCATCAGTCCCCTGAGGCAAGTGTTACAGTAATTAGTGTTACCTGTTTGAATGAATGAGCTTTTAGCATTCTTTCATGAATAGCTCATTTGTGGACGCTGAGAGGAAGGGCAAAAGTCACCAATTCGTTTTCCACCTGGATACGACACATGAGGCAAGTAATAAGCTTCGAGAGCGCATGAGTTTGTGATTATACTGATGGTTATTATATGAGAGCAAATAATGGGTGCTTCAGTCCTTAAAATGCATTAAAGAATCTGCCTCTTCCTAGCATTTTAGTCAGCTATTAATCTTATATAATGTAATCATATATAATTGGCTTTTAGTGCGAAAGGAATACGAAGTCCCAAGCTTTGTTCTGTGTATACTTGGCGTTAGTTGACTATCTACCGAGAGTTAAATTATTTTAGATCTCTTTTGCGACGTTTCACTAATTGGCCTTGTTTGGTGTGGAAAACAAGACTACCGTAAGGCTCTGCTCCCCTTTAAGACAGTATAACCAACAAGGCTGTTTCAAAGGGAAAGATAACAGAAAATGAATATTGATAAAATCCGCTTTCTTCCATTGTTCTGTATTCACAACGCGTAAAGCGCCGACGCATGAGAAACAGAAATCACTAAAAAAGTTATCCCCTGTTGCAGAAAACAACATCGTGAAGTAGAGAAGATAGATTCCTGTTTCTGTTTTCTACCAATGAAGATTACCTACTGCTTAGCCCTGTAAAGTACCCTCACCCATGGTTGCGCAAACAATAGAGTGAAGCGAATTGATTAAGGCCATAGATAACAGCCTAACTGGTTTGTACATGCAGGATTTTTTCATGCGCCTTTATTAGGCGTGAGGTACAGGAAGTGATGGTTAAATTGATGATCCCTATATCTCTTACTGACCGTTATTAATAATCGTAAAAATCTTTCCACACAAATGACATGCATATTTCTGAATAGCACATACAACCCAGAAGCTCAAAGGTGTAAAAGCTACTACAAAAAGTCCACTAGATTTGAGATTTTTCGAGGCATGGGTACTATTAGCAAGTTATGTTGAGCTTAGGGGTAGGTTTTAGGCACTTTATTTATGGCGTGGATCTTGATTGCAGGGATAAGCAATTAAGGTGAAATTACACATTTGCCTAGCTAGCACAAATCTGTTTTTTAATTGTCCCTTTAAAAATCTTTTTTACACTTTGAACCAACTTCACAGTACATATCAAGTTCCATTTAGTGTAAATAGTTGATAATTTTTTTGATGTAATGAACCCCTTTAATCATCTTATAGTTTATAGGCTCCAAACTCTCCGGAAAGTACTTTAAGTGCATGAAAATTTATGCTTACTACTATCAGTCGCATTTTCGCAACGCACTCTCCTTTCCTAAGTATAACTTCATGCAAGATCTAGTTATTTTAAGCTAGCTTTAAAGTTATGCAAAAGTAGAAGCAGCCTAGTATCCATATTTTAGGGGTATATTTTAAAGAGGACATTTTGTTTTTGACACATGAGTCGGAATACCAACAGGAAACATTGGAGCAGCATGCCAAAGTACACAAGTTTTTATGAATGACCCATTTGCTTTGGCCAGTTTAATTTAAGCCATAAAATCAGAACTGTTGTGCATTCTACTCCAGTCGAGTATTTTCAAGCGGCAATTACAACATTCGAAGTGCAGGATATATTTAACAGTACAGCAGTGTATATATGTTGCCACTTGAGATATGCATGTTGAAGCTTCAGGATTAGAGACGCCACCCTGGTAATTGGGCACGGAAGAACAGGTACTTTATCTGTTTAGTGGGTGTTCAACCCTCAATCTGTGATTTTACTCCTACTCGCACCTCTAGCCTTGGCATGCGATTCCACTAGAGCGCATTCAGTGGACTCTAGGTAGCATTTGGAAATTGCTTAACTATAACTTGGAAAGGCAAATTTTGATGAAAGACTACTTATGTTTGGATTTTTAAATCACCGAAGTATAGGTTTGAGAACCAAAGCCGAAAATAACACCATGCTTACTCCTGATCGGGGATTGATTTCGTGCATCAGGGACTATAACTCTGGCTCTGGTTATAAAAACGGCATAAACAGACGAGCATTAAAAATGGACTAGAACATTTAAATAAAAGCAATTTTTTGCAGCAGCTATGAAATTTACATAGGGCCTTAAAATTTGTTATCAAACTAGGCCTCCTCTATTGAATGATATGAGAACTGGTTTCGGCAAATCCTACTAAACGTGACCCCACTTGGTGTTCCAATTTAGGTATGAAGAGGTGTACAGCAGGAACACGATAACCTGGCAAGTGCACATTAAATCAAAACACAGATTTTCACGGTCGTGTTCACTTCCTTGACCTACCCGCGCCCAGGTAAATAATCAAACTAGTGAATATTACCATTAATGGAAATTTAGAGCCTTGAGTAACGGACATGGTTTGACTAGAATAATTCAAAAATGCTTACAAATAGTCGACAAAAATCAAAGTGGGACAAATAGCTCCGGGATTTTTTACTGCGATCCACAACCCAAATCCCTCCTCTTTCAATTACCTCTTTGATGCTTCTCTGAAATCACACATAAAGACGACTGATATCTCGATATTTTGGAGTTTTTGGACCAACTAATTTAACATTAACCTGATGGATAGCCAAATGTGTAGAAAATTAGGTAATTCACTTTAAGTTAAGGCTGTGCCGACTGCCTAGCCAATGCAAGCATGTCCATGACAGTTGTCTAATTCATGAACTACACGGTAGAGAACTTTTCGACGGATCTGTGGAAACAATGGACTCAGAGAATCGAGTGATCCTGAACGTGGGTGGCATCCGACACGAGACGTACAAGGCGACCTTGAAGAAGATTCCCGCCACGCGGCTATCGAGGCTGACGGAGGCGCTAGCCAACTACGATCCTCTTCTCAACGAGTACTTTTTCGACCGACATCCCGGTGTTTTCGCTCAAATTCTCAACTACTATCGCACTGGAAAGCTACACTATCCTACCGACGTCTGTGGGCCACTGTTCGAGGAGGAGCTAGAATTTTGGGGACTCGATTCCAATCAGGTTCGTTCACACCTCCTTTTGCTCCACTTTGGTCTTTCTGATTTTTATACTCCATTGGAAATAAGAAATTTTAGACTATTGAGTAAATCAACAATTTATTGATAAAATCAACAAGAGATTAAGGCATGACTCACCTTAGCGTATTTATAGAATGACCGCAAACGCTTCTGTGGTTTTCAGTGCAGCTAACTCCACCAACTTTTCGTAACAGACATGAATTTAATAGCTGTGATCTATAAATTTGCCCCATTTTATTTCGAACCCGCATATTACATAAACTAAATATGTTGCAATAGGAGCTTGTCTGCTTCACGAATTTAAACGCTGTTTTAAAGCTCTTCTGGCTTCTCGTAAAATTCTTATGATATAAGGTAATAGCCGAGGTAGTAGAAACGTTTTGAACAGTTGACTTTAACGGTGGGACACTCAAAGGAGCATTAGGTTAAAGGGGATCCTTCATTCACGAATTGTGTGTCACTTTTACCAAAAATGACTTGAGATTATGGCATGTGAAATTTTCAATAGCCTTCTCTACGTGGATGAGGAAGCAATTTCTCCGCTATTACAATGACTGGGAAAGTCGTAGAAACTGCTAGGCTAATAAGTTACATATACTACGCACTAGTAGACGACAATCAGCTTCAAAGGCCATCACTCCACTCTACACATCTTGGACACCACCTCAACCCCGGAAATTAATCTCTAATGTGTGTGCAAGGTAGAATGGGAACAAATTAATTCCTGTTTTTTTTCGCTCGAAACCAGACAACCACGGCTGATTTGTATCGGCTTAATGAAAGCTTCTTCCTCTACATTCTCGTAATGGTCTTTCTTCCAGTGATGGCTGTCACATTCTCTTTAAATTGATATTTGATAATCGGCTAAATAGATACATGACCATTGAAATGATACCTAAGAAATAAGAGACAGAAACGGAGGTAGTTATGACCATGTCATTTGCTTCAGGAGAAAAGTGGTATTCGAAAGCTTGACCCTTAGGGTTAAAATTATGGATTGTAATACTGGTAATTTTAATAAATTACATATTTTGAAAGAGTTCTGTAATTATTCAACTTTTACTAAGAAGAACGACAAAATCCTATCTAGTTAACTCAAAACCCAATTTGGCTTTTCACCTAGTCTCTGTTTTTTTCCTTTTAACAGCGACTGATATTCTCGAAATTGCTTATGCGTTTATCCCATCGAACTGAACAATACAAAATGCTATCAATCATCCAGCCGATTTTACGCTGGTTAAGTTCTATTAAAATTGGATATCATAGAGTTCCACTTAGCGTCAGCTCGAAAAAATAAATTGACTTGATAGTGCCTCGCAAATCCATCATGTTACCATCATTATTAGGAAAATGACAGCATTTTTTAATGACCGACTTTTTAAAACGGTGCCATCTTTAATTGCGAATTTATGTGCCATACTAATCTCCATATAGCAGAACTAAGTTAACCGAAACTTTAAAAATCAGTTTTCACAACTATGGCACAGCAAATCAGACAAGGCTAGGGTGTCACCGGATCTCTTTTAGTGAATTTGAAATAGGCCAGGCACCATAAGGTAGTCTTTTATCTTATTGGCTTTGAGTTCACGTATTTATATGGGAGAGTGGAATAAATTGTGCTATTGATCTGCTCCCAATGCAGGTCATTTTGACAATTTACTCACGTGCTAAAGTTAGTGTCAGCAAATAGGGTAATAGAGTCGGGGTTAGAAGGGTAGTGCGCATAGACCCGAGACACCAGACTGTGCTCTGTCAGCGCAGTAAAATGTCTATATCAGTGAGAGTTATTAAATTAGGTAGTAAAGCCGACTTAAAATCACTTGGTGTAGGACCTGACTTGGTGCCATTTTGAGAAGTGATTAGATGAATTGTCACTTGGACATTGATTAAGGGGAAGTAAATATTATATCTTCTGGGCCAGGAAATAAAGGTTTTAAGAAAAAGTAATCGGTCTTACATTTCAATAGAATAAACTTGTAAAATTTTCCGGGTAAGTTAAATACAACCACTTCACAAGGAATTGGCTTTGGTTCAATTTTTTACTTTGCAATCATATTTAACTATTCCACACTATTTACAGATGGTAAATTTTCATTTAAAACACAAAATTCTCGAAATTCATTAAAAAATGGCTGAAACAGAGTACGACTGAATTTCTTTCCTTCTGAAGGTGAACTATTTCTTGCAACTTACTACCGATAAAGTATAAATATTTATTCTTTCTTGTCGGAACCCACCAACAGCTTCCTAGTGTCTCTACAGATAATCCAATCCATAGCCTGATAATACAATCGGTGCGCAAAAGCCAATTTCCACGACTTTAATATTTTGCCGGGGAAGATATAGTGGCAAATAGCTTTTGTCATTGACTTCATTTTTGAAGCACCACAATTCGTAGTACCTATTTTTTTAATGGTACATAAGCTTATAGAAATTTCAGACGGCATTGAAAGCCGTGAATGTTTTCCTGATAGGTGACGTCATTGCTGAGCCTGCCGCATGATATCTGTTGTGTTGAATCATAATGCTTCTAAGGTCTCTTTACCCTTCAAAATGATATCAAAATATTCCGATATATCTGTGGGCATTCCGTTAAAATTGCTACGAACCATTTATTTCTATGTTTTTTTAAAGTAAATCTCAACAACGAGATATTTGGCTAGAAACAGATAACATAAACGGTAAATTTGAATTAGCGAAACTACATAAGTGCTCAATCAAAGTATTTCCACTGTATTCTTAAATGATTCATCTGCTTAATAAGTGTTAAACTTATTCATCTTTGAGTGCTTTAAAGATTAGCACCAGTCATGTGCATTTTTTTCTATTTTCCTGTTTTCGTTTTAAGTAAATCACAAAATAAGGCACTAAGTTACTCTGCATAATCATAACTACCAATGCAGTGGCCATCGCAAAGGAATGAGAAATACAAAATGAGAAAAATTGTAGCTGTTACAGATCGAAGATTGCGTTGCGAACATGTTGAATGAAGTGAGATTCGTGCTCAAAAGACAAACACTGCTATGGCCTTCCACACTTTTTTCGGTTAGTGTCTATAAACTATGCGAATTTGGATGCGCCACCTTTTCATATTTTCTAGTGCTTCCCAAGCGTTGTGCCTCCAGATGGTTTACGTGCTTCTTAGTCTGTCATTCATATGGTAGATGTAAAGGAATGAGAATGATGCCTGAAATATTTCCCTACTTGTACTGAATGAGCACAAAAACTAATTTGATTTGACTATCGCCAAGTTTTCTCCTGATAGCCAAGTTGGTGGTCATTTTGCACACTGAATACAAAATAATGACATATCAGTTTGAAAGTGAATAATTCTTTAGACAGGAACTAATATGTCAAAATCAAACAGGAAACAAACGAACTGAGATCGAGTCGTATTTTGAAGCAAAATGCGGCAAACTGGCATTTACTTGTGGAGATGGGTACAAGAAGGTATTAAGGTAGAAATGTGAATAACAGTTTTAGAATGCAAGTTTTGTCAGAAGCTATAGCAAATATAATTGTACTACAAGAAAAGATGGAGAAAAACTAAGTAAACCCCACCGTGTCACAAACGACTTCACTTATCTGTAAAGAAGCTAACACCACTGCAACGTATTTGCAACATATTGCTTTTTTAGATCTGGAAAAAGATGCTTTTAGGCAACCTTAACAAAATCATTTTTAGCTTTGTAATATTGAGCTAGGCCACTCAAAATCCAGCAGGGATACCTAAACTTTGGTCATGGAAGCACAAAAATTCTCCCACTTTCATAATAGATGATGATGAACCTGGAGAAAGCGATTACATGAATTTTTTGCCTAGGCTAATGAATGGTCTTGGCGGTTTAAATTGGCACATCTTGTGGCGTTTCTCGTCTGATGTGCCTTTAGGTGCTTCGCTGGCACGAGGCTGCATTTGTGACTCTCCATTCGTAACAATCCACTTTTCGATGACAAGACCACATGGATACATTTATCGTGTATCTAAGTAGGCTGGATACTTTATACGCAACAGTTCCACCTTTTGCTACCTAAGTTACCTGGTAGGATGGTAATCCCAATTAATAATGCTGGAAAACCCTACTGTATAATAGGGAACAGTGGGTAGGCATCAAAACTCCGATGTGAGCTATGCGTTGGTTACTAATGGGACTGGATGTTCTTTTAGGGGATGGTTCATTTAAAATGTCTTTTGTCTTTTTGAGATGCATTGAATAGCTTGAAAGCTAAAAGACTTCTAATTCGAATATTTTTTGCTAACTTCGGTGAAGTTAAAATAAGTAAAATTTTTACATCGCGTTTTATCTGTATATTTATTTATACTCCTTAATTTGGCGAAACATCGCGATAAAATCGCGGCTTGAAACGGAAAACAGCATGAAATTCAGTTTCAAGCCCCATGATAGGCAATTAAGCCTGTGAAACACCAAAAGTCCAATATTGGCGGGCGCATTTTGAATGAACTTTATCAGTAAAATTTGCCTGTTAAGGACTTATCTCTTGAATAGCCTGCTACACCAGAACACAAAGTTCACAGCCCAAAATCAAGGTGATTGGTCACTCAGTCGGTGAACTCTGCCCCCTGATTAAGGCTCGACTGCTCTACCCATTCTCAACCCAAGCGACTCTGCTTCTTATTGTCATCTGCGATTTGGTTGTAATTACAAAGGTCACACATTGAGTTCAGAGGCTTCTCACCTCAATATATGTACACACTCATCAAACAAGCAGTTGCCTTATTTTGATATTGGGTCTTCTCGTTGTCTAGACATTCCAGAGTGTCTACACAATAGGCGTTCAATTGTTTATAACTGGCTAACTTCAATAAGCAACAAACGAAGCCGAAAAGCTCCTCCCATTCTTTATTCAGCATTTTCCACTCTTAACCAAAATGACTTGTTCGAGCATTATTTGCTGAAGGAAGTCCATTTGCTATAAAAACATGTTGTTAACATCGTCATCTATACTTGATTCCTGGAAAACCTCTTTTCCTGACCTCCTGCTTGAACATTCTGGTTTCATAAGACCCATTTTACAATGAGGTGCCTTAAAATAGCATTACAATTTTACTGCGATTCGGCACACTACTTATTTTACATCAATTTTGCCCCGAAAAATAGCACAACAGTAAAATTTAGAGCAGCCTTTGAAACAGCTTTAAGTGCGAACCAGCGTCACTTTATGATTCCTTGGTAGCCTTCCTAAAATTAGTATGATGTTTTAATTTCACTACCACTACCAAAGCCTTCTTTAGAGAAAAATGACTAATTCCACTTATAATAATTAACCAAACCTCAAGGATAAAAGACAGAGTGTCGTCTTTTAAACCGAACAGGCCAAACTCTTAGAAATACGATGATGGGTGGAAGCCGCCAATTTTATTAATCCCTTTAAAGTATCCCCATGATAACTGTGTGAACAAAAGGGTTGAAATGGAACAAAATAAAAAGCAGAACTAGCTAAGGTTCCCATTGATCCTTCTAGTCTCTGAATGGGTGACGTTCTGACTATCACTTTGATTTCAAAGCTAAATCTTTAGGAGTTTTCGGCAATATGTTGTTTGCGATTTTGCCACACTTGCTCCACCAGCGATACGCGAACCATCACCGAACAAATTTGCAAACAACTAAGGCAAAACTGTTTTCAAGATTATCTGGTTATTTATGCTTCGTACGCGAATTTGAACAAATCGCTTGGAGGTGGATTATAGCTTATATGAAACATGAGCCCTACTTTTGAGCATAGCTTTAACATTTTTTATTTTATTCATCATACTAGCACACTAGTGTTTCGATTATTTTAGTTTGGAGGAATCACATCCCTTTTATTATTCCGGTGTTATGGTCCACTGACTTAAAACCATGCGATAAAGGGGTCCTTACAAAACCATCGCCACGTTCTCATGCGTTTAATGCAACACTAATGCAGCGGTGCGGAGAACTGACAATTATAAGGCCTAATCAGTCATTATGCCAATCGCTCCACAAATTTTTAATTCAAGAAAAAATTTGGATTTGTTGACCTTAAATTTTGCCTTGTATTGTAAGTCCCTCTACGTAATTCGTATCAAACCATGATTAGTTTGATTGTATCTATAAAATCATTGGAAAATAACATTGATATCAGTTATCCTACCTAAAGGTTGAAATCCGACAAGTTTAATGAGAGACTAATCTGAATAACACGGCGCTTTATTTTCGAATAACGGCAATAGAAGTTTTATCCAAAGGGCAATAAAGAATTCCATCTGGTGAGATTCTTGGATTTTTTAGGTGGAGCCATGCTGCTGGATGACCTACACACGACACCGTGAAACTCAGGACACCTTACAAACTCTGGAGAGATTGGACATTGATACCGACAAAAAAACGGAAGAGGAGCTCTATGAGAAGTTCCACTTAGAAGAGCAATACCTTAGTGGGACTCTCACAAAATGGCAGAAGTGGAAACCCAAGCTGTGGGCACTCATTGATGAGCCCTATTCTTCCCTTTATGCCAAGGTAACAACTTCTCTGTCTTCAACGAAAATCACAATATTTGCTTTAACGACTTGCCATAGCATTCAGTCCAAATGTCCTCGCATGAAGTAAAATTTGATTACTACCCTCAAACGACCCCAAAAAAGGCTACTTACGTTTGTCCGGCGTTGTCATTTAACCCATTTACAACACTCGCAACAGTAGATATTCACAGATCCTTGAAAGTGTGAAAATCTCTCTACTAGAATTAAGATTATAAGGGTCCAGAAGTTTCAAATGTGGAGAACTAAAGAATCGACTCTTAAAAGCGGTATAATCGAAAGATTTTACGCACCTTCACTTCAATTATAAGTAGGATTTACGGGAAGGAGCAGCCGTCCCAAAATGCATAGGGTCCTTCTTCAGCGAAGTCCCTACTTCAGTACATGAATTGGCTCACAGTAATTACGAATCCATGGCTAGTCACAAGCAATGGAGGTTTTGTGCAAATTATTTGCATCTGCCACGGTCATCTGTACTTTATTCTAATTACCTTTAATAATCCTGACTTTAGTCTGATTTCAAACAAAAAGGAAATGGCGATATTTGGGAAGGATGCAGCCTTGGAATCAGCGTAAAAGGCAAATGAGGCGAATAGAACACTGAATTTTATCGCTGGTGAAGGGCTTGAAAGGGCAGTATGATATGATTGAAACCTAGATTGCTCTTGCTTCACCGTGGAGGTTTTTCCAAAATGGCAGAACCACTCCTAACGCGAATTTACTGATATTAAAGCATTGTTGTGAAATTATAAATAAATAGAAGTAGACGCGGGTGGAATTCAGTGCTCTGCTAACTTATCGCGGTTATCAATGTTTATGTAAGCGTCTCCAAAACCATATTAAGTACCTACAAGAGAGCCTAATTTTTAAATGCTGCCAAACGAGTGTTTTAAAAGGTTCCCTTATAAAATAATCTAGCTTCAAATTTTGACTTTTGTCCTAAAGCGAAGGAATGATTTGAACTATGCAAAACACATTAGGTGAATTTAATCAGTTGTATCAAGCTAAACAACTTTATTTAGTTACTGGTTTGATAGCTTCATTCACGTAACCGAGAAATCTTCAGAACTCGGATCCTAACTTTTCCAAAATGCAATAACTCTTTATTCCGCTTATCTTTCAGGCAGTAGCATTTGTTTCAGTCTTCTTCATCATCCTCTCAATCGTTTCCTTCTGTCTAAAAACGGCCCCATCAATGCGCATTCCGGAGCTGGTGAACCGAACCTTCGAAACACCTTTAGAGGAATCTGCGCCACCGAGAGAGAGCTATTATTTAAGCGATACGGAGTCCCGGCATGAGAACGAGGGTGCGCATGGCTTAGCGCATACGCGTATGCCACGGGCCGCCTCCTCAATCGCAGCATCCACCACCGCGACCGCCTCTACCGCCACTGTCGGACCCATGCAGACCCTCTGGATGATCGAGCGCACCTCTATCCGGGCGCACAACATCTTCGATTATATCGAGATCATCTGCAACATCTGGTTCACCTTCGAGATTAGCCTTCGCTTCCTCGTAGCTCACTCCAAACTCGCCTTCTTCCGCTCTGCGGTCAACGTCATCGACCTCCTCGCCCTCCTCTCCTTCTACTTGGATCAATTCCTTGCCAAGGTGCTCATTTTCAGCTCTGAATACGAGGTCCTGGAGTTCTTCTCCATTGTGCGCATCATGCGCCTCTTCAAGCTAACGCGCCACTACTCGGGCCTAAAGATCCTCATCCACACATTTCGAGCCAGCCTAAAGGAGCTTCTCCTCTTGGTCTTCTTCCTTGGAGTCTTTATCATCATTTTCGCCGCCCTAATGTACTACGCAGAGCGGTTTCAGAACAACCCACACAATGACTTTAACTCCATCCCTGTAGGACTGTGGTGGGCCATCGTCACCATGACCACTGTTGGGTACGGCGACATGGTACCAAAAACCTATTTGGGTAAGCTCATCCTAAAAATCCATTTACATTTCAACTGCTGTTTAAAGTAATCGTCAGTAACCCCTATGTTGATACTTGTACCCATTTACTAATAAATAGATTTCCCATCTAGGTGCTACTAATTGACATTCCCACCTATTATCAGTTCATTTAGACTAATAAGTGTCAGAGGTCTTTTTGTCGATAACAAGCTGTTATTTTTGAGGGTGCATGACAGCTAAGTTAAATTTACGGTCATATGCCTTCAGTGAAGTAGTCTTGGTTCATTCGTGAAGTCATGGTTGCCTCGGTTGCCGCGTCAACCTTTTTAATGAGATGGCATAAATACTACTTGTGGTAGCCATTTTGATTTGCTAGACACATTTACACATCATTTAATATGAGATTAATGAACCTTAAAACATCTACAGCTTTCCAAAACTGTAAAATGCAATTTGATTATAGTAATATATTAGTCACAAAGAATTCTCTAGTACTTCAGAAATCGAGATGCATGTCAAAAAACTGTCTAATTTTAATGGTATTGTGATGCAGCAAACGTTGGCTCTCATTACAACTTTAAACACTGAATAGTTGGTGTATGTTTGCAGGGCAATATTTTTAATGTGAGTAGAGTTAGATTGCTGGAATACAAAAGCCATGAAAATAAAAACATTATTAATATAATTATCAAACCCTGTCACCGGTCTGCTTTTTATTTCAATTCCCTCTCCTTAAGCGCTTAACGAACCTTGGAGTCCTCTTCCAAGTAATCTAAATGCTAACATTCTGCTTACTCCACCAACAAAGCCCCAGAAACGCAACTACTCTTTGTCTTATTGACGAATGAGCTAATTGAAAGCATTTCGGTCTTTGATCCGACAGCTAATTATTAAGCGCTCGAACAGTGCATTAGCATAGCATGGAACAGGAAAGCCTGTTTCATAAAATCGTTCTTGTACTTCAAATAGTCAAATGGATGAGACAAATTGTGTTTTGGCAAACGAGAAAGATTTTAATCCAACCGGAAGAAACAGGGAGAAGTCGTTACTTAACCAAAAGAGTTATCATAAATCCGTTTAAAGTTGATTTTGTCGGTAATCAAGCACAAATTTTTCTACCATCGGTCAAAGAATTGCATTCAATCCCAAATTCATGGCTAGAGGTAAGCAGATGCTGGTGATGTTAAACACTCCCACTTTGCTCTCAACAACTCATCACTAAGAATGATCACCTTACTAAATCACTACATAAATTGTTAAGCAATAGCGTATTCAAGGAATGCTGGCATCTCCTGTCTTCATCACTCAAAGTCTTTCCCGTTGAATTTTGGATTCCCTCATGCAACTTTTTCAAACATCTGTAGGATGAATTACACATAAGTTTTGTTCCAAAGAACTTGAATATTAACAAGAAAAACTTTTAAAACTGGTTTTCTAGACCTTATACATTCCGTGTTATTGGAGTCTCAGTCCATTCAGGGATACTAAGCGACTCAAATAAAATGCACATACCGAGATACAATCCTCTTATCTTCTAGTGGTTTGATTTACTCTCATAATTCCCTTCCTGTACCGTTCGTCAAAACCATAAGAAGTATGAGTGTTGAGCCAAAACCGAAAAAACCTTTTCCTTTGCAGGCATGATAGTCGGAGCGATGTGTGCAATCACCGGAGTTCTAACCATCTCGCTGCCAGTGCCAGTGATAGTCTCCAACTTCTCAATGTTCTACTCACACACACAGGCGCGCTCAAAGCTGCCTAAGAAGCGTCGTCGCGTGCTACCCGTGGAGGCAGTGCGGCCAAAATGTGGAGGTGGTGGTAGCGGAGGGAGCTCGAGGGGTGGCGGTAGGGGTATAACATCCAACGTCTTCACCGGCTTCGCGGCCAACTTTGGTCCCTCAGTCAAAATGACGGAACGCGGCGCGCTGCCCGAGCCGCTCCACAGCCCCGACAGCCGACGGATGTGGAACAGTGCCATTTTCGAAAACGTTCATACAGCTCCTCTCTGTCCTCGCAGAAGTATGCATTCCTCCTTACTCTCTCCTCTTTTCGCCTAGTTAAATCCAATAACAATAGAGAAAAACATACTATTATGGACTTGGTAGCCTGGTAACCGAAATAACACTTTATGAAGAGCTATAAGATGCAATGAGGTAAATTTGGCAGGTTTGGTATACGATCACGTATCTGTCAATCTACTAAACTCTCATACTGTCAAAAATGAAATCTTATTAAGTTGAACTAGTGTCAAGCCTATCGTTTTAAGGAACTGAAAGCTATTCGATTGCTAAATCAAATGTCTTTGGCTTCAATTACCTAGATGGCTGCGCAGGAAATGATTATGCCATGCACTTAAAGAGAAATGATTTGCCAAGCACTGTAGCAATTAATGGCGCATACATCTAACGCAATTTAGACACCTCGATAACCCCAGTATCGCTTTATAAAAGACAGACTTCCTGATTAATAGCATAGATTTCCTCCAATAAGCGAAAAGGCTTGTGTTGACTTACTATTCACATGCCTCAAGCAATTACTCAATCCCACTAAGCTGTTTTCCCGGTGCTAACGAATATTCAAAATGTTAACTTATTTTTACCTAATCAGCTTCATTTAAAACATCCAAAAGTCAAATCATCTATGGTTGATAAAACCTTATACAATGGGTTTCTAGAATCCACAATAAGAGACAATGGAATCGTTGAAAACTATTCAGTAGGAATTTCCCCCACACTTTAACAAAGTGATACCCCATGTGTAAGCATTGTATCAGTGGTTTGGCGTATTATCTAAAATGAATCTTTTTAACAGTTTAAATTTGCCTCGGCTACTGGATTACTAACCCGTTGGAGGAAAGGTTAAAATTTCAATCCCATTATAAGGAAAATACTGCGTAAAGCATGGAGGGGTTGGACGGTTCTTGGCTAAACGTTCACGGCTTCACAGAGTCTCGTTGGGAACGAATGTATCAATCCTAGCTGTGCTTCTAATGCAACCAAGGTTGCCTTTGAAATGGATGGGTAATAGTTCAGCCCAAATGTTAACTATTATAGCTACGCCTATCATCGTAAATTTGAAACAGGTACTAGTTTTCATAATCCCACTCACTTTTTAGACTTGCTGAGTTGCTCCCTCTTACTTGTCTTAGGAATGCTTGAGATTATCGTGTGCCATTACATTCTGCTGCTTGACATGTTCGTATTCCTCGATGAATGGTTTAATTTTTCCTTTCTACGTGCCAGTCTATACACCATAGTGACGGGTGAAACGGGCAAACAGATTACTATAAGTAAGAGGAAGAATTTTCCAAGCACGTCTTTGTGATCTCGGCCTGATACATAGCCAGAGTTCTTATTGACAAAAAGTGCTCATTCATCGAAGTATAAAGGTTGAACTATTTATAACATCTGAGATGGCACTCGAATACCACGGTCCCGCATATAGAGATACGCCTTCATAAAACAGAACAGTGGAAAGTAAAATCTTCTTTCATTTTTGAAGCTGCACGATGAGACAAAAAACATGTGAAAGTATTTTTCTTGAGCAGTAAAATGATCTATGTGATTTCATAAGTACAATAGTTGGCATCACTGAATTCAGGTAGTTAAAAATATTTAATAAAAACTCTCCTAATTTATCTTAAATTGCCTTGTAGTTTACGAATTTCTAACGAAGCCCACCTGTCATTCTCCGCAGACTAAAAACCACCCGTTATGGTTGTGCGAGGGTGCGGCTGTTTAAGATGAAGCGGTAGACTTGAATCGCGTCCCCATGATAAGGTAGAGTGGCTCGCGGGAAGAGGCGTAAAGTCGATTTTGCGGGATTACAAGCATTCAGCGAATCTAGTTAGGTCTCACGGGCTAGCGCAATACAATCTACCTTCCCCTGTACGATTTCACAGAATAGATGGAATACATGTTTCACTTGTATTCTATTGCTTGTCACCTGCAGCAGTATGCATCTGGTCTCTGAAAAGCCAAGTTTAATCAGGTATACGTTCTTTCAGGGGAAATAATATCATGCTATGCTATTGCATGCATTTTTAGTTGACCAATGTCTATATTTTCATTGCCAACACAGCACAATATCGGTTCCACCACGCTTTTATAATTTTGAAGCATCTGAGTTAAGCATGCAAATTCATGTTTTACAATTGGAACTTTTTCTTTCAGTCAAATGGTGTTTTGTCATAATACGATATATTACGGTGAAATCTAGCCGGCCGTCTGACACTTTTTTCTGCTTACTATCAAATCTGCAAGTCCACAAAGTTACCTTTTGGCGAGAGATGTTAAAAATCCCTCCAAAGAGTACGCACATCGCCACTCCTGGGAAGGATGGAGTTCTGTAAATGACCGGAAGCACACTAAACGGAAAGTAAAAGCAGGCTGCTAATCCGAATTGAGAGCACTTTTTAAGAAAGGAGTAATTTTAGAGAAAGTGAAGATTATATTAAATTGAGACAACTGGTTTAATAATGCTTGAAGCATTAAAGTGTATAAATTCGTACATGTGTATCTACTTTTTCATTTATTTTAAGGTATCAAATGGAAAAAAGTTTGAAATGAGAGCGCCAAAGTATGCAGAAGTGTAAGATCCTAGGCTTAAGTATGCGCCTTCATTGGAAGTTCACTCAAGTCGCCTACGTATGGGATCGAAACTTGATGGTCCACAAAGTGCGAAATTAATTTGTCAAACCTGCACTTGTGAGGATATCGTTCATAGCAATTTTTTCTGCGCGCACATAATTGCCATTGGCGGCACAAATCAGACTCCAAATGTGAACATCAAAAAATGGCATTAAAGAGGGCTTTATATTTTACCTGATTCAATTTAGTTTTAGATTCGATTAATAGTGAAGTAGCCAGGAGATAATTTGTTTCACTCGGTGCTTTTACCATTAGTTCTACCACCAGCGTTGTGCGAAAACGAAACGGTGTATGCAACTAACTTTTCGTTTAATAATCAAATTGTCGAAATGTGACTTAGTCGTGACTTGTTCATATCCAGGTATTCCATGCAACCGACAGGCCAGTCTAGTAGGGGCAGGCGAGGAGACTCCAAACTCGCCAAGGACTTCACAGCCATCAAGTAAGTTCACATCCTTCTAGACTTTTGCGTATTCAAATTCCCCTTTGATACATAGTGATGCCATTCTACCGCTATTATTAACAAAAATTGCCTTGCATATTGTTTTACTGATCCACGGAGAATTAAAAAGGTAAAGCATGTCGTGACTGTCGGTGAATTTATTGTGTCCTTAAGAGATACTTAAGTCTCAATCGTTTTTTGCACAAGATCAAGGACTTATATTAATATAGTAGTTACTGATTCCTTTAAGAATTTATGGATTAAAGACAGAAGAAATATTTGAAAACATAGAAAGCAAATCTTATGGGCTAACTTGCAAGCTGAAATAACATGAAGCAGTATCCCCTAACCTTTTGCAAAACGCGAATAATGCCATATTAATTTTTGACGACTCTTTCTCCGTAATTGCTGTGCCAGTATGTTTGGTATACATTCGCCATTAATAATCCGAATATTGCTGGCTATCTGGCTACTAACTTTCCTTAATTAATTAACTCATTAATTAGTCAGCCTGTCAATCAACTGGTTCATCAATCAGTCACGCATGCCCGACTTCAAATGCTACGGGAAAAATCGCTACATTCTTTTGACAGAGTTGGCGATAGTTCGTCGAATTGTAAAGCGTCCGCCTGTGGTCGTCTAGTGATCTTTTGATCTATGCAAGGAATCAAATTTTATTTTCCCAAGCGAAAACATGCGGTTGCATTTACGCTATAGACAAAGTGGAGCCGGAAAATTGTGACCCTCCCAGAGGTAAAAATAAATCTCTAAACATGAATTATTACCTGATAACAAAGCACGAAAATTGAAACAAAAGGATGCGCATTACTGCTAATTCACTGCAGTTGATAAGAATGGAGGAATCTGTTTATTGAAGGATTAGGCCAAAGCTATTCCTTCTTGAGAAGAAAAAAAAGTATTTATAAAGAAAATGGGCTTTTATATACGGCAAATGGTATTAGAAAAACATGTCTAAATCAGTCAAAGAATTCTCAGCTCCTTCGTTTAGTGTGTATATCCTCCAAATCTCACCCAAAGCCTTATCGTCTCATTTGTGCGAAACGGGGTTTAGCAGCTGTCCGAACCTTTGTCCAAACAAGAAAATGGAAAAGGTTACAATAAGGAAAAATGATCTTGTTAACTTTTCTCCGAGCTGAAATTCATCAATAAACGTCATAAAAGGTAGTAAATGCATTCCTTATTTTTTAATGACACTAATTATTCGCTATGTGGGATTTTAGATGTTTGAGTTTCATTTTCTCCTTCGCAAGACGGTATGAGCTAATTGCGAATCAAATGCAACTCAATAAGACTTGGTCTTTAAACGTTTTAAATCTTAGTAAGTCTCGAGATTTATGCATGAATAAATACAACATAAAATAGTTTTTAAGTAAGAGGAATCTTAAGCAGTAGAAATTACCCTTACTGAACTCTGGAATGCATGTAATATACATGAACCATTAATAGAGCCATGGGATTTTATTAAGGAAGTAAGATTTGCACTGGATAAACGTGCAAAGAGCGTGAGATGCGGGTCTGGATCAGGAAGCTTTGCCGCAGGGTTTGGGGTCTACCGCGGGATAACTTGCTGAGGAATGCTTTCAAATGTTGAGTGGATGTAAATAATCCTCCTATGCAAAGCACGCTTCATTAGACTCAAGCCCGTCCACGGTTTCACTGCTGAGTGGCAACTGTTCCGTGTGCGAATTGGAATTGTACGATGGTTGAGGAGATATAAGCACCTTTTGTAAAAAAGCACATGGAGCAGGAATGATTAAGAATGGACACTCTTACTAGAAAATTATTGGCAATATAGGGATTTTGAGTTGGTAACTGTCGGATCAGTATTTGTTCCACTTTTGTCCCCTTCTAACCTCATCATCTAAATTGCATTGGGTGGCATGTTTAATTCAAAAAATTTTTCCAACTGACTTAATATAAGCGGTTCTTAGATGCTAATTCTTTCACATTCAGTCTGATTGCAAAAAACCTATTCTCTCCCAGCTGAAGAGAGGTACCATTACGTAGGGCGTTATTATGCTTTGATTAATCGCCTGACCTGTTTTTTAACGAGTGACAACCCACTTTCCTTAAGTGAATCGAGATGCCATAAGTCCAGGGGCCAAAGCCTCTCAAACAGAGCAATATCACGAAATCATGCTTAATTCTCTACCTTGATAAACGTACGCATTTTTCACTATACTAAATGGTTACACAGCATTCTTTACCAAGGTAAGCACCAATCAGCTAAATTTTAAACATAACTTTATTATGACCTATGACATCAATGAACATACAATCCAAACTATCGACGCAAAGTGGATTTTCACCATTTCCACGTAAGGGGTATTTGTAACAAGAAGAAAACCATGAGATTTTGCTTTCTTTTGCAAATGCATCAAAGGTGGTTTAAGGTTCACCCGTCCGCAGATCACGCACAGCAGCGCATTTGCAATCCATTCCACTTCACGGAGGAGTAATAGTATTATTCTACCATCCCATTTAAAGTGTTTCCTCTCGGGATTGTTTTGTTTATTCATAAAAAGCTCTTTGTTTTTCAGCTACTTTAATAAAACAAATAAATAACTTTTTGTTTCCTTCATGCCTTTCTAGAATTGCACGAATACCTAACTGCTAGTACATTTCCACTACCTTTAATGGTATTTATTAAAAACGGCACTTTTGCAGTGCCGTGGAACCTAAATGGATCTCGCTATGCACTGAGGTGTTCTGTATTAGATCCGTGTATAATATTTGATGGATTGGATCTAATGTAATGAGAGAAATCGCTTTTTTGCACAACTTAGAATACAATATAAGAAATGGTAGTTTGTTTGGACATCATCATCGGTATATCCAAGCGCACAGTTCACCTGAAGAATTTATTTTTATGTCAATACTGATAAGGGTAAAAGTGGTTTTTATGTTTCCGTTTAGATGAAATTAACTGCAACTGTAGTTCGTGAACTACTTTAAATTAATTACCCATTTGACGGCATAAGCAACAAGTTTCCTTCTTAATAACCCAAGTAAAACACCACAAAGCCATCCTAACTTTGAGTTATAAACGAACAGAGGAACGCGTGCTTCGATGGCAAAAAGGGATTCTGCGCGACTAGGCAATTTTGAAGTAGTTGTGGTAAACAATCGCACCATGTTCGCCATTTCCATCTCTGCGTTTTATTAATACCTCATTTGAAATCTCGGTATGCATTATTGAACTATGCATTCTGACGATGCACATGAGTAGGTCAATAGTGATTTATGAAAGAAATTGCTTTCCCTGATAGCCTTTACTTCTTTACTTGCTGGAATAACATGGGTAACTCAACTAGGGGGTTTTGAGGTTCTCCTGCGCTTGACGATGCGATTTTGTTATGAACCAGTGTTTATTTTCGTGAGTCTGGATCCTGTCGAGTTTCCAAAAGGCGTAATCAGGAGACAAATTTCAGCACGGACGTGTGAGTAACCCAGAGATGTGGCATTTAAGTATGTTAACTGCTAGCCGATGAAGTGCTTCCATTCTGATTTTTTATTGGTGTTTAATTAGTCTTGATCTTGTGGTAATTATTAGCAGTCTAAAGTCCTTCTGTTCGTGATATTGGCCAGTCAGAAGAACTGAGCCAGAAAACGATGTTCTAGAATCCCTGGAGATTAGCCACGAAAAAGGGTGCTTCTGGGAAGCCGACACAGAAGCGTCTTCTGAGATTGGAGTCATTTCCAGCATACTTTTGTGTCTGTGTTAGCATCATCTCTGTAACAAACAACTACGCGATAGTAAACAGTCGCTGTTAAACTATGTCTAAATTTTGGCATGTTTTTAAATATATCAATATCATATTTTCCTAAGATAGGGTCCGGTATGGTGTTATGAAATCCACTTCAGGCAACGCATATAACCGACTGGACTAAAAAAACGCAAATCGACTCCAAAATGATTTAATTCAATGAGGTTCTACATGACTTATGTTCCACTTTGTGCAGTGCTCGGATTATTTTGACCATCATAACATGAAATATAAACGTCGCCGTGCTAAACTACTTATTTTTTGTTAAATAGAACTAGTTTATTTACAAGTACCAGAAAGCCTTCAATCATGATTCCTGGCACGTTGTATTTAGCTGTTCTCAGTAGCAAGATCGGTTGTTTAAAATGTGAAGATTTAAGAATGCGCGATGTTTCGTGCAGCATGTCCAAAGTATTTTCAAAACTATTTTAGTAGCCCTTTCCCTTTGCCACCGAAGACCTCATAACCTCCCCAACGATGCTTCACCACTGGTCACCGCTGGTAAGTACTCTATTGGTATCTAACCTACAGTGAATGCAAGTCTTCTGTCCAAATCTAACAACTCGGTACACCGTCAATATCCGAATGTTTAATAATCTTGATTTAGTTAAATCCGAGTACTCTGCTTCATGTTGCAATAGGTCATTCAGCTCGGAATACGGTTCATGCAAACGAAAAATTACATACTTAGCCCATACCTTGGGCCTTCGCATTAACAATGAAGTATGCAAAATCAACTTTTAAGACGTAACTGCACTAGATATTTAAGATTTCTTTGCAATCCGCCCATTAAGATCTGAAAGACAATTCTCAGTTAGCTCGCTTTCAAGAATTTGCACTGAACATTACGACCGCACTGTGCTTGCATGTTACCTCATGTGCAATTGAATAATTACGGATAAACTTATCTAATAAGTTTACTGAAACGCTATTGAGTCGTGAGGATTGACGATCTTTCTGCAGCTACAGTTATTAATTTATTTTTATATTAGTGTTTAAATTTGATTCAGTTTTGAGACTGCTTAGATTTGTTAGTGAAATGCCACATGCGTACCTTTCAAAAAATTAACTTATTAGTTCACTTTAATTCGTTAGCTTGGTAAAGAGCACTTCGTTCAGATCAGCATCCAATAATACTTCATTTTTAATAAATTAATGCTGAAGTTGGTGTTAAATATCTCAGAACTGAAGACTATCAACACTTAAATAATACATAGCGTTTTAGAATTCAGGATTTTGAAAATACATAACTTTAAGGCGTGAAGTAGTAAAAATTAACGAGTGCCCTAATTTATCTGAGAAAAAAAACCCAGCGTAAATCGTGAGAATCAGTAAGGAATGCAGCACTATGATGTAATCGGGATGCATACCGTAGAGCATTATCGTACATTCGAATCGTGATAGCTAACGCATGACTGAAAGATATGACCTTATTTCGAAAAAAATAGGCTGCATAACGAATGCATGTACTTTTCGTTCATATAAACTAAAGGTGGAGGCCAAAACTCCAAGAAATGTTCGACGGAACTCTTTATGGTTCCGCCCCAGCAGTCTATTTCGCGAAGTATCTACGAGACGGTGAACGAAGTAGCTTCGATAAGTGATTCCTCGCCCCCAAATCCCCTCACCCCAGAGATCCAGAGTCCTCCGGTGGTAGACACTTTCACTACCACCACCGTTACAGCAGAAAGTCTGCGAAGGCAGCAGCGGCAGCACCAGCAGAGTCGCTGCGACTTTGAGTCGCTCTGTTGGGATAGCGAGTTTCCTGCAAATAGGTGTCACTTCTCCTTTGCCTCGTCCACAGCCTCCTCCGCCACCCACCAGAAAGCGAGGGTGAGCAATTTCTCGCACACCAGCCTCGATCAACGCGCACCGTTCCCACCGCTGCGCGAAAATCGAACTGCCAACGCCATGTCCCCCGAGATCGCATAGAGGGCCGAGGGGTTGGTGTGTGGAACTGTAACTTGGGACCACGCCATGCTAGGATTGAACCTCACACTTCTGTTGTCCTACCCAAAGGCTAACCTTCCGTCGATGAAATAAATATTGTGTAATCTATTTGATTCCAAAGTTACTTTAAGGCAGATCATTAATTATAAGCCTAATGCAATAATAGTAGAATTCCATCTTATGGTTCATAATTAAGTTTCCAATTGAAAGCATGGCAAATTTGTAACTTCTGATAAGTGTGAAACGAATAACCTTAATAATCGAAATTTTAACTCTACATTGTTTTGAACGTTCTAGTTAAGTTAAATTGAATGATGTCCGAAAAAATAACTGAACCAGTGTTATTCTAGCGTAAATTAGTAGGAATTAATGAATATGGAGCAATTATCTGTGAGTTCCCGTGGATGGTAAAATTCAAAGTTAAACTAAGTGCCTACTGACGAGGAGAGTTAGCAAGGGGCTTGGGAACAACATGCGCGATTGTAGGTAGGGCCCTAGAAGCTTATGTTGGATTTATAAATAAAGAACTCAACTGTTACATGCGGACAACATGCTGCAGAAATAGAACTTAATTAAGGGAACTTTATGCGATAAAGGCAACGAGGAGGAAGGTATTATCTAACGCAACCGATTCCATAAATAGCATCAATAGTTGACTGGCAAAATACATCGTTGGGAAAAAATCACTTGAAGTGATCGAAATGCAAACACAAATTTATGTCGCTAACATCGTGACTCGGTGAGACAAAATTTTGGCCAGCTTGGCTATGCACTTGTCGACAATGAGGAAATGATACCAGCAACCAGCATAATGATAAGATAACCTGAAAAGATAGCACATGTAGAGCATCAGTTGTCCTCCCCTACGTAGCGCATTGGATCCAAATAAGCTGCACACTACGAATAAATAAAAACATGGTTGTTTTCCTAACTTAAAAAGTTATAAACAGACATCTTGAAAGCACACCATTGCAGCAGCAATTTCGAAATAGTTCAGTGGGTTAAAACCATATTTAGTTGCTTTTAAATGCTTAAAATGATTGAAACAAAAAGTTACAAATCCAATTGGAAGTCACGTACCTTATATGCCATCTAACAATTGCCAAGGGAGATGGGTAAACACTACCTCATCGCAGTCAATACCAAAACGAATTGTAACGGAGTAAACAGTCACCTATTCACCCAAAGAAGAAAATGACGGAGAGAGCAATAACTTTTATCACAAAGAAGGATATTAAGAACAGTTGTAAGAGGAATTCTGAAAAAATTCATAGACCTCGGGGTGCGTGGGTGAAAATGAACACTACAAATAAATATGTGGAAAATTCCACTTTCTACTTGATACTACTAAGTACCACGGCTTCACGAGATGAGCAGTGTGATCAAATCCTTTAAGACGGTAGTGATTGTCTTAAAACAACTTGACAGCAGTATCTAAAGGCTAGTATTCAGTCTATTGTCTGTTTTTTTTCCAACTTTGTGAGAGTAACTGGGGTACATTCCCACATCATTTTGAAAACGTCAAGTGATCATCCGACTTCCGCCTTCATTAATGTAGGATAGGTGGATGAAATTCACATTCTAAACCTGACATACTTAAAAAGAGGGGTGAAAAGTACTTTAGATTTGCGCAATAGTCTGCAAAGTATCATTTAGAGGGCGAGTGACTTACCAAACAGAAAGTTGACCTTAGTGCTCCATCAGCGCAAGCTCTGTGTTTAAATACAAATTTTGCGCCGACAATCAGGCATTTTAACAGTCATGTGCCATTTTGTAAAGTGTACATCAAAACGGAAGATATGCACTAATTTAGACATCTGTCAAGTCATTTCCAATGCCGAAGCATCATTTTAATAGGAGTTAGTCACGGAGCGCGTCACAGCTGCAGCACGGACGAACCTCAGAGAACCCGAACTGATGTCCGAATAGCTGCAAATTTTGTTCACTTGCCATTTTTGGAACACATAGAATGTACTCAACACCCATCAAGACCAAAGGCTGACGCGCCTACATTAAATAAAAAACAACTGCTAAAGCCAGCGATCCCCTTTATTCCTACAACATTAACAGGTGAATGGGTGGAGAGAACCACCGGTGCCCCCAAAAAGTTCTTCATCCATTTTCATTGCGGATCAAAAACTACAGCAGCGAAAAGCAACACATGCTGAAATAATCAAGCTAATATCCAGGAAGAAAATTTGCTCAAGATTGGTTTTGGTTTGGCATAACATTGCAACCACAGGAGGATTCCACACTGCAATTGGGGGGTCCAGTAGGATGGTGAGCACATTATACATCAGACATGCACAGTATCGCAGCATTCGTTCTCAAAGCCATAGTGCTCATTAAACAAGCAAACTGGCCAATTTACATGTGTACTTGCATGTGTGGTTTCGAAACCCCAAGAATCACAAAAAAAGACAACACACACACAGGATTACTGCATAAATTTTATTGAAAAGGGGGAGAAGGAATGGGATAACAATCAAATAATAAGGAGGCATCAGCCCACTACACATAGAAACGCATAAACAAAGTGAAAGTTGTGCATAACTAAGAGTAAATGCTGCCGACGCCACCGGGTAGGAGGCTAGCAAGACGTTGCATTCGAGGAGGTGGCACCCAGCCACCATTGTATTAAAACGACCCACGCTGAAGACAACTGCTCTTTCACTTTTACGAGGTCCCTGACATAAAGTCGGAAGAGCCACCAGCAGATGGCAATGAAACTGAAGTTGTAGACCAGCATTATCATCAACTCGCGCGTCGGAGGCGGCGACGACAGGGGCATAGTGCCCAAGTGATGCTGGTGTTGCTGTTGGATCGTGTGTTGCTGCTTCTTCCACATGCCCTTCATTCGTAAGAGATCCCGCTGCTGGTGTTGCGGCTGCAGACTGTGATCGTGAGGAGGCTTCGAGGACCCCTTGAATGAGAAGGCGGCCGAATGAAAGCCGTTGAGGTAGTGGGTGGGGTCGGGTAGTAGTGAAGATGGAGGAGGGGACTGTAGGCAGGGACAACTTGCAGGCCTGCAGAATCCCTCATCGAGGGTCGAGTAGTACACCGGAGGGAAGGAGGGCGTGGCCAGACCCAGAAAACTCGCCTGGAGGGGCACTGCGGAGGACATGCTAAGGATGCAGGTAGCGTTAAAGAGGAGGAGAGCCATACCAGCGCTGTGGGTTCGTGGGTAGATATGCTTGCACACCAGAGGGAGAGAGTAGAAGCCAAACAGACTGATGCAAATAACGAACACCACCATCAGTGCCTTGCAAAAAAAGAAGCAAAATTATCAATTGAACATTTGGAAGCAAATAGACAGTTAAAGATCGCTGCTCATACCCCTGAAGCAGATGTGAGAAGAATTCAATATTTTTTAAGCTCTAGAAATGAAGTTCTGGTGATATTTAAATTCGATAGATATATAACTATACCTAAATATGTTATACGCCTTAACTATTATTAATTCATGACTGAATATAATTGGTATTCGTCAATTGTTATAAACAATAATAAATATTTCAAGTATGGCATTTCTAATATAATGTTTAGCAGTAAACATAGAATGAGCGGCGTAACATACAGGTATCTCTGCTATTAAGGATAAGGGGCATATTTAAAAGTGAATCAGGAATACTAAGGAATAATCCGCGCAAGACCACAGAGGAAGAGGAACTCTAACTGTTCGTAATACGCAATTTTGAAAGCACAAGTAGTACGCATGGAAAAAGAGTCCCACCGTAACCAAATGCATAAAGCTTGTGGTAAATCATGTTTGAAAATCTTTTTAGGCGTTTTACAGGTACCATAAACTATTTACAGGAATACTAGTACCTACCCTGACTAACAACTATCATGTCAGTGAGAATATCAAGAAGAAATGAAGCAAGACAGAAGCACGTGCAGCAGGAGTAGTTACGCCCAGATTTTACCCCGCGAGAACGGATGTTCACAAAACAAAATACATGTGATAATAAATGATGCTTCAATTCGATAAAAAAACGCTATTTTTACTAACTAAGAAACTGCTGCAATGACCAGCTTAGCTGCAAGATTTGCGGTAAATGCCCCCTTGTAAAAATATAGTGAACCTCAATTAAACCGTTACCGAAAATGAGTTTAAAGGAATACAACAATCTTTGATCAAAATTAAGGGGAATTGATTTGAAACCTTGATCGACAATAAAAGAGATCTTGTTTGTAAATTTTAGTTAGCAACAACATAAAACTAAAAATCTCTAAATTTTTATCATGTAGTTTAAATGAAAATTACAGGAGAAAATGCGGTTTAATGATTGTTGCTCGTAAAACAATCAAATGAGTAATTTGAGGAATGTATTTTAGAGATAACCTTTTTTACGCACTAAGAAGTCGTTATCAAAATCGTGCAGAGAAAACGTCCTCCGTATTTAGCTTAAAAAAGGTATATTTTTCAAGAGTGCGATTCCTAAAACACCATTCCCACCGCCGCTTTTCTCAAACAAAATTCGAAAGCCATCAGGAAACGCTCAGACTTAGAATAATACCGATCAACTGAAAAAAAAACTAGCCTCACAAGAATGTTGCTGAAGATTCACACAAGCTAAATCAAAAAGACCATCTGTACTTCTTGTGAGCCACCATTTGTTACCAGCTGTGAATGTTACAAATACTTTATTGACGTTTAACAACAAGCCAAAAAGACCGTGTAACTGCGAGACAGATCAAATTGATGGAGTTGGGCTTGAGAAAGTTGTCATAGACCCCTCAGATTAATTGTGAATAGCACTCACAAAGCGGAATGCGATGGTTACCAGAAGCATGGCAAATGTGTACAAAGAGGAGTAATATTTTTGGAATTTGATTGAAATATACTTTTGAGGAAGACCAGTGTTTTGCTTTAGCAAGTTCAAAGCAATAGAAAGTTGACAATATGAAACCCTAGTTTTTCAGTAAAATTATTTGTTGCTGCAATCCAGTATTTCAGCAAAATGAATAACAACCACTTCATGCTGCATTTGAATTTCGTGGAACCAAATATTAAACGGCTAAAAAAAGTCAATTTGACAGTTTGATTAGAAAACGAACACTGAAATATCTTCGTCGCTATATGATAAAAAAAGCAAAATCCATATTTTTAACTCTTCATACATCCCAAATAACGTAGTAAATTGAATTCCTGGACAAAAGGGCAGTCACATGATGCAAGACTAAGTACCGCCAAAGAGCATGCAGAAAACGAAAAATACACCTATACACTTTCAATGAGACTGAAAAATGCTGAACTGCAAAAAAAACAAGAGATTAACCAACTAAGAAATTGTTTACCCATTTATCGATGTAAAGCTTGTACGAATTTCTCGTCTTGCTACTTTTGTACCTAATCTATTACACCCGTCATACTTGATAACTTTCTGTGTCAAAATCACCGACGAATTCCCTTATCCAGTGCACGCAAAAATGCTTAGGTTACAATGTAGTGCATTGTCTGACGAACGGATCGCGCCACGGGTGTCTGTAGTTAGAGATGGTGCGCACACGGATGGAAAGTTATTAGCATTACATTTTGTGAAAGTTATCACGCAACGCCCCATTTTGTTCAAAGGAATAACAAAGATAACACAAAAGTCAGTGCGAAGAATAGGTTGAAAAGCATCATATGAGGATAAGCGTCTTGACAGGTGAAGACGAGGGTCACATGGCGAATAGCACAAAATATCACGACAAAAAGTGAGCTAGTTTACTTCTACGACGCCTGAAGTAGTGTATATGGGAAGAAGCGCAAGTGCGAACAGCGAAGAGTTGACATCCAACTACTTTTGGGATTAACACCAACAGCGCGACTACATTCGCACTTTTGCGTTTCAACATTGTTATAAAATTGAAATTACTGAAATTATTTTAGTTTTATCCATACAGAGGGTTCAGGCTCGGCCAAATATTGAGCAGATAACATCAACTTGAATAAAAACTTCAAAAGCTATAAAACCCTATTTCCGGAACTAGGCAGACAAAAGCATCCAACGACAAGCCAAGACACTTGAGAACAAACCAATTGAATGCATAAACTCAAAAACGAGGAGGCTAAGAGATATTAATCACTCGATGACAATGATGCAGTGAGTGTAGCTGGAATATAATCTCGTCAATTTAAAAAAGGACGGCTAATTTTTTAGTTTTTACTCCAAATTTACACTCAACATCCAGACTCGCAGAAGCCTCGGCAGTGTGACACAATACACAACAGATCCACTATCACATTGACAGCGAAAATCCAAATTCGGCTAGTGCTTATGATCATCAACAAGTCTGCCGAAACACCAACTTTCCAAACTTCTTAAAAATGAGCGGATTTCAGCGCCTACATGAACATGAGATAGCTTTACCGTCTCAAAATAAGACTCCATTGATCACAACTCCATGTTAAAGCAAGATCAAAACTCCGTAGACCATTCTTGATATTGCTTCGAAAATTGACACACATCTACTCGGATGTAGATAGTACGCTCTACCCATAGGAAGAAAAACCGGGATGCCAACATAACGGTTCAATAGCTAGCACAGTTGCATTTCGAAGCTCGGGGATTATCGGTCTACATCATATTGTGTCTGCCAAAGTAATACGAGTGAAGACAAGAAAATCATAGTAAAAATAAGGCCTATTTTGTGTCAAACTAGCGACAAACCAATAGAATTAGGTAGAATGTTAATACATGTTACTTGTGACATACTTGCAAGCTTGCACCAATGAACCCAAACTTGGAGGCCGATTCATGTCCCAAAAGGATTGCATCTCTGGAAGAATGGTCTGCAATTCCGTGGGTACGAGATGTTAGGAGCTGATAGAGCAGTACAGTGACATTCATTGATGCATACAACGCGGCAGCAAGAAGCACTGATAAGAGGAAGAGGAAGGCCAATGAAGAGAGCAGTGAACGGCCAGTTTTAGGTGAGACTTCCTTCAGATCCCAGGATAATGAATTTACGCCAAATGAATCTTTGGACTCCAAGGAAGACAAGTGATAATGGGCGTCAACAGAAGAGCACGAGTGGATTCGATAATCTAGCTTGTCAAACTGCAAGTGAAGTGAGTGTCGAAGAGGTTCGTTTAGGTTCTCAATATATTTTAAGCACTGTTGTAGCTGGAGATGATAACTCTCATCTATCAGTTGCCAAATGTAGATATCATTAGAGAGAGAACGCAAAGATTGGGTTGTAGAAACCTTCATCATTTGAATGATTATGCTGCTGATCCCACTGGGGATGCAAATTAGTAGGAGTCCCAGACCAATGTAGGAAATGAACTGCTGTACCAATGTTAAGGAACTATTCACGCAGCAAATGATGTCGCCTAAAAGTTGCAGCGGCCAGGAGTAGTAAAAGAATGTTGAATTTAGGCAAGCGCGAGGTAGAAGCTTCGTGAGGAAATCATTGGTGCTGGCGAAATTTGGGAATTTGAACGCAAGCGCAAAGGTGGATACCAAAGTGGTTAGGGCGCCGAATGAAGCAAGGTATGTTATTGCGAGATATAGTATCGAATAGAAGAAGCGTGAAGATACGGCCTTGCTACCAGTGTATACACTGTGTGACGATAAAACAAAGAAACCGAATGGGATCAGAATGCATGTTCCTTTAAAAGCAATCTGGACGAATACGAAAAAGGTGCGCAGCAGTCCCGCGCTAATCCACTGAACGTAGTAACAGTTAGGGAACAAAATTAATACTTCATTGGCAAGGATTGACAAAGGAAGCATAAAAAACATTACGACACTTAAAGTCATCGTGGCTGTGCATATTCCCATTACAAAACTGTGCACATACATATCATCTTTAGAAAGATAAGGTTCTTTGTATTTCCGCCTTGAGGCGACAATAATGTATGATAGTGGAAGAAGAACTGAGATAGTCAAAAAAACAACAACAAGAGCTCGGACATTTTCATAAAACAAGCTTGCCTCTTGATCAAGTACTTCATCAGAAATATCCATGAAACTAGATGTAAGCCTGCAGAAGGCATTGAGGTTGCGCACAGAAAAGAAGGCTAAGGAGCAAATTACAAGTCAGCCAATTAGACAATGAATTGGAATTCAGCTGTAACTGTTGGAAGAACACAATGGTATTTACATATATATTGCGCAAAAAACGAACAGTCCAAAATTTATTTTTTCGTGCTAAACTAATGCAGTAAGTTTTTAAAAAAGTGACCCCAGATTAACGCAGCTTTTTTGGCTGTAATTATTTTGCACATTTTTATGAACTCTATAGACACAAACCCTCGATGCTGCAAAATAGCATTTACTCAGGTACTCGTTTCATAGTGCACTCTCATGACGTGACTTAGGTGATTTTTAAGCTTTAGTTGTTGGATGTTAGGAATCGCCCCAAATGAATACGTTACAAAACGACACACTAATTGTTAACATCCCAAATCAGTTATTTCATAGGTAAGATCCAAATCCTTGACGATGATCAGGAAGTACAACAAATGCTTTATGCTATCTTCTAAGAATAACAATGCCAATGTTGGGCACGGGATTTCTTAGGCTGCTAGCATCTTGCAAAGTAATGCCACAGGAAGCTTCTCAACTTCATTTTGACACTCTTTGCATTAGTGCAATGGCACAAGTCCTCCCCTGAAGCGCCAAGGCAAAGTAGTACGAAAGAACAAACATCACTGACAGCCGGACAGACGGGTCCGTAAAACCTCAGAGGACTCGATGCCCTTGCAGCCAAGAAAAGCTAAACAGTACTCAGTCACGATGCCACAGTGGACGCCAAATTAGTAACAACTACCAGTCTACACAATCACAATCAGCGTGCTAAATATACGACTGAAGCCAAAAGGTAACCCTCCGAAATTGGACCCCATACGCCTTTTGCGCTGGTCATCGAATCCACGAAACCGCATTACTGAAAACCAGACGCCGAAATGATGCCTACCACGACAAAGGAAGTGGACGTTCTCATGATACTTCACTCCACTACAGAATGCCACGGTCGATAGAACTTCTCACCGTTGCAATGTCTTCACAACAATTCAACGCATAACGCCTGACAGCCTGAGTTAACGAGCAAACAAGACCAAAGGAAAAGGGAAATGATCAGGAGGTAGAAAGAGCGCAACTTAATTACACATGACATTAAGGGCGAGGATAACAAAAATAGCAGATGATCACAAAATTAAATCATAATGCCTTCACCACCACTATTTATTCTTTTTTAACGTCCTCTGTTTGTCCGCCGAGGTGACAATTTGTTCATGTAAACTAAGTCCCTTTCGTTTGCGCACATCTCGAAGGTAGGTCCGCAGACGGGTAAGCTGGTTGTTACTCTCGGCCTGCGCCAGATCCTCGTCCACCTCGCTGTCAGAGGTGGAGGAGGACGAATTGGGGGAGGCTGGTCGGACAGCAATGCCTGGACCAGACAGGGGGGAAGTGGTTATGTCGGCAGTGACGACGGTGTTTCGCTCCGACAGTCGCAGGCGTTTTATGGCTTCCTGCTGGCGCTGCCACACCTTGATGTGCGTCTCTCCAAGAATGGCAATGTGGCCGCTGGCGTCTCGCTGGAGAGGATCAACCTCGAGCACCTCCCACCCGCCTGGTCGAAGCTGGGGCAGCGAGACCAGACCCGAGGTGCGCTTGCGCAAGTCATTGGTCAGGCCGAAGCTCTCCACCACCGGCAGGCGAGCGTGAGTCACAAAGCACTCTTCCCCTTCTCGCATGTCCTCACTCACCACCCGACCGCAGCGCTTCCGCAGCACTGCATACATGCGACCTAACACGTCACCTCGGCACTACAGAAATTACGAATGGACGAATTTAAGATGAGCGAACACCAACAAATTCCGCCACACAAAGAATGCTTTCCTTCCCCGCACTCCCTTGTCAAGGCTACCTATTCTTATATTAGTCCGCGATGCTAATACTAAAGTGCCTTTTTGTGCTCAAGAACATCAAGTGGATTCAACAAAAAATCGAGGAAAGACTGGGGAGGATACTATTTAGAATATCAACTTAAAGGTCGCACATGGGCTCGAAACAACCAATAAGTGCTAACTCCAATATAGGAGTCCGAAATCCACGGGCCTGACGACAAATGGTTTATGCAAGTATGAGACAGAGAACAATTCTAACCCACCAAAGATTAATCCTGTGACTCCGTATTCCATTATCAATTACCAAGACACTGGGATCAGCTCAGACTTGGCAAGAGACGCTAAGGCGCACAGTCCCGAATTCGTTTATGTGTGCGATTTGCCAAATACGCAAATACGTTTTGTAAGCGAAATCGGTTATCCAACCAGACACCTACACATTGATTCGACATTGTCGAAATGACTAAGCAAGCTACATAAGGAATAGGACGGTGCATCAGTTCTTAAAAATTCATCGGGCCTGCATGACCGAGGAGAGCGACGGAATATGCACAGATATTACCTGGAGTTCTATGTCATACATGGAAAGGACTAGTCGCTGGGCAGGACAGGCCATGAAGGCGGAGGTGCATGCACGAGCCATCGCGGGCGTCAGTAGACCTGGCGTCACGTCCGAGAGCCAGTCGTTGTCGCTGCGCCGCTGCCAGTAGAAGTGCTCCCTAAGAGTAAGTTTCTTCTGTAAATAAACAGAACGACAATATAAACAAATCTCGAGATTCCAGTGTCACGACATTCACGATATCAGTAACCTAATGAGGCTACAGCTTTATAAATAGATACATCACGTTCCACCTGGCACATCAAGCATGAAATGGTATTATTAACCACTAATCGTGTCGTAACGAAAAGCGATATTATATGCAACCAGTCGTGATTGAGGATTTCGAGCCTAATTTACATCCGACTGACGAAATGGTCAGGAAACAAAGTGGACGAAATGAGTTAGAAATAAGTAAGGGGAAGAAGAATGATACCTCAGATTTGGCTGCATGCTCTTCCTCCACTTCAGAGTTGGCCTCCTCGTCCTCCTCCTCCACTTCTGATAGATTTTGATCGCAGTTGTCGTTATCATCGTTGTACCAATCACCATCGTCATCCAAGCAATCATCCTCCCCGTCTTCATCGTTGTTAGCGTCATTATCATCATCTCTCAAATTTAGCCAGGACATAGAGGAAATGAAATCTGCTTTTTGCCGCCTTTTGATAGCCGCTTGCTTTGCCCTGAGAGCAGCGAGAATAGGGTCGCTTTCTACAGCCGCCTCTCCTACTGGTTCGGGTGCCTAAAATGAGCCGCAAAATCACAAATCAGGACTAATCATGACTTTTGCTCAGAAAAAAAGTTGTACAGTTGAAAACACAACGATGCCATAGCGATTCATTTATGTGGCATGCCATTTTCTGGCCACTTGTTCACGTGACTCAACATCGAGTGCAAACCCCGACGGTAGGAAAATAGAGGGCATCAACTGATGTTTTGCTAATAACTACAACCTTGGAAACTCATCCGTGGTAAAAACAAATTTACTATATTTATGATTCCTGAAAAATTGATTACAGCATCAAATGACGCTGAATGGAGGCTAAAATTAACTAAACATGATGAAGCACATGTATATCGAAACACTACAGTTTGGGCCGCAAATTTCATGTACGAATTTGCTACTACAATCAGATTAACGTGGTAATCCATTCCTCGTCCGTTTATGTGATGGTCTCATAGTATAGTAAACCAGTCGTTTGCGTAATGATATACCATTTAGAGAATCTACCCAGATGATAGAAAGTGGTTTTAAGCAAAGGATGAACGTAAGGTTAATGATCACCAACAAGATTTACGCGATTGACCAGGTCCACCAATAACTTACAGGCTCATTCGCTTTTTTGAGCTCTGCAGCCACCTCGTGTGTGGCCTCCTTTGCCAGAAGATCGGCAGAAGTGAGGATTCGAGGCGTGGGCAATTGGATGCGATCCTCGGCGTAGATGTCCTCCAGCACGAAAGCGACCCCACGCATTGGTTCAGCGCACAACGGTCCCTGCTCCGTGGCCACCTGAAACCCGCGCAGAATGGCCTTGCCGTAGCTCAGGAAGGGGATATGCACCGCCCCTCCCCCGCCGACCTCGCCTGTTGGTACGGCATCCGCCCCTGGCCCCTGGGCCGCATCCGACCACGGCGACATTGGCTTACCCCAAGCCGTGTCCAGGCGAAAAAAGTTAGAGCGGAGACGAGAGAGGAGAAGATTCGGCCCCACCTGCTGTGGGCCCAGGCACAGGAGTCGGCCCTTGAGTGAGTGCCATTCAAGAAAGTAACAAGCCTCTGGTGGTACTGCATCCAATTGGGCAGAGAACTCCTCCTCAAACCTCTTCAAACATGTGAGAGCACGACGCGAGGAAGAAGATTTATGTTTCACGGCGCGCATCAATAGGTGCATGTAGGCAGCAGCGCGAGTTTCAAGCCAAGTGAGGAGATTTTCGGGCACGGGATGAGCGGTAACACGGACAAAGACGCGAGTACGCGATTTGCTGTGCGGCAGCTGGAGCATACCCAGTGGAAGATAGCGCGTTGGATCGGAAGTCTCCATGCAGGTTGTCTGTTGAAGACTCTGTTGCTGCAGAAAAGCCTCTTCCTCCTCATTGCTCGTGCAAAGGCGCACACAATTTTCCCTCGCATCGTCGTACACCAGATGCTTCTCCTTCAGTTCTCGCTCAAGTTGCGCCTTGGCAAAGGCCAGAGAATCAAATGGGACATAGGAGGCGGGCGGACAGGCCTCTGTGACGGTTTCACGGAAGGGTACCAAAAAGGGAGAAGTGTGCAGTTCAAGATCTGGAGCGAAGTACGTGGTGAGATCTTCAAGGCACTTTTGCATGTGAATTTCGCCTGCAGCATGAAGGAGGTACTCGCCTTTGGGTGAGAAGGTCAATTCAGCGCAAGGGTCAGAGCGTTCAAGAAGTCGGAGGCCATTTTCCAAACGCACCATATCGTTCGGATCAGTAGCGCTGGCGGGTTCAATAGCAAGGGAGACGACGGGTGCACCGTGCCAAATCGCCAGTCCGGCAAGGGGCAGGACGCGGCGTGCTTCCGAGGTGGCAACTAAACGCAGACTTGACACCAGAAGGCCCGACTTGGGTAGACTGGTGATGACCGAGGCGCCCATTAGACCTACCACATTGCCTGCGCTGAGTGAGTCAATAGGACAGGAGGGGTCCTTCAAATGGAATGCGTTGTTTTGACCACCGCAAAATTGTACAACGTCAGTAATCTCACCCACGTAGACATGACGCAGAACTTGGTCATCGTGGTGACCTGAGTCACCGACAGAGCCTGCGGAAAACGCACCACTCAGATTGGATGAAATGGACGAGCAAGAGGATGATCTATGGCGAGCCTGGACTAAAGAGGTTAAATCGTCTTCCTCTGGCTCAGGTATGCGTAGAGGCCCAAGAGGCAAGTCTGCTGGATTTGCATCCAAGAGGCATTTGGGTATCTGGCAGTGGAAATCGCAAAGCCTTCACCCATACATACATTCGACCGTTATTGTCTAAGGCAAAAACAGAGAACACTTACGTTGCTTCCATCGAACTTCGGTCCGAGAACAAACAGCCGTTGACCAATCTTCACTCGACCGCTATAGATTCGCGAAAGCGCCACGAACTCAGTGTCTGAAAAGGGACTATTTGCTGGATTTTTGATTGCCGTCTCAACGTTGTCGTGGTGAACGACTATCCGACCAGGAGTTGCAAATCTGGGAGCTGATGGAAACTGTACAGATTTGGGAGGCCTGCGAAAGGGGGATAAGAGTGTCCGAGGTAAATGGTTTAGCACTGATGAATTCAGCGTAATTGATTCGATCAGTTTGTTAGTACACAGAAAATACGAGTCTAGATATATGTTAAGGATGCAAATGCAACTGCAGCATCCACAGAAAGCTTCATGTATCCACTTACTATATCTATTAGAAACATCTGCTTTTCTTAAAAGGAAACAGAATCTTGGGCTAAAATCCATCAAATCAAGAAAAAGAGCCTTGAAATAACGGAAGCAGGTAATGTTCTTTGTGTGACATTAAAGTTACACGATTAGCTTAAAGTAAAACTCACTGAACTGATTTTGGAACATTCTTAGGAAAGACGATGGTAGAGAAGGCATTTTTCAGTTTGTCTGCCCAAAAGACCTTCGATACAAAGATTATTACGGGTGCATCAGCATTCGAACTACAAGCTTCCAAGGCTGAAAAGAAGATCAACATCATCCAGAACATTATGAGTGGAAATAAAGAATAAACAAAAAAGTCAAAGGTCGATTCTGATTTGGCTAAAAACAATTAAGCCATCGTGATCGCGGAGCGACTAACGAAATAAAAGCCGCACATGGGCAAATTCAGCTTAATCACCATCAATAGCAGGAAAGGCGGCAGATTCATCTTCCTCATAGTCCTCCTCAGTACCATCATTACGGCAAGAATAAACGACTTCTCGTAAAATCGACTGCCCCGCATTACTACCATCACTCGTGACGACTGCGTCTTCTCCGGATACAAATTGTGTAACTGAAGACTCGCCAAACAGCATGTACTGAGCTCTTTCACGACTTATTGCAGCCAATGGGCTGGGGCAGGTATCCACAATTGTTCGGAAAATGGCTGGTCCAAGAGGTTGCCAGGTGCTGAGGATTGAGCGCACCAGCGTTCGATTGTCCACACTCTGTTGGTGTAAACGCGACTCTAGTTTAATACCTAGGCGTTCAGCTATGTGAGGTGCCATGTCGCGATTGTTGTCCACAATAATTGTCTAAAAGAAAACCACATTCATCGAAGCATTCGTCGAACCAGTGCAGTCGGTACATGCAAGTTGAATGCAGAAAAGTGTAAGTCTGGAAAACGAGAGAGGAAAGCTACCTTGTAGATGTGATGTAAATGATCGATAATGAGCTGGACGAAGACGGGTTTCTTGTTTTTGGCTCTGGCATGGGGCTTGACTCTAGGCAGACCCCCATCAGGCGAGGAGGTGAAGTAATAATCACCCCAAAGAGCCTTTAATAGACCCTTCTTCGGCAGATTCATCCGCTCCGCCCAGAAATCACCGAAATCGGAGATGCGAAAGCCCCAACCGTCAACTGCGGAGGTGAAAAGAACGTTGGCCTTATCAGGTGAAAAATACACGTGGGAGTCATCTGTTGCCTCCAAACCCGTGCTCCATGTGTACGTTCCTTCTGCTGACTGCCTTACTGAGTCTCCCTAGAAGGCATAGGCATTACAGCCAGCTTGGGTGGAACCCTAGTGAAGGGTATAACACACTAGAAAGCATCACAAATTCATTCAACTTTGGTGTTCACATGGTTTCACAAAGACCCAAGTGCTCAAAACAAGCCTTCATTCGTGGTTCAATTAAAAATTCGAAATGAAATGAAAAGCAAACTTGCACTTATGCTACACACCAATGGTATAAAAGCTAGAGATCAAGGAATATAGTGGAAGTGCTAGTGTAAATTTAAAATGGAATAAGTTCTTTAAACTACTACAGAACAAAACATGGCACACACATCAGCCTCCCATCCGTGAGTTTGCTGCATCACATCTGCGGTAAACATTTCAGCCAGAACAGAGTTAATCTGCTCTAAAACGCGCAGAATCCTATCGTACACTTGAATAGGTGAGAGACCAAGCTGCAGAAAGAGTCGGTCGAACTTATTCAGAACAAGAATAAGAGTGAGACGTTCATTCCAGGCTTGTCGCAGAACGGCCCGCGTTTGGGGGCAGACACCTTCAGCAACGTCCACGACGATCATGGCACAGTCACAAAGACGAACTGCTGTAGAAACGTCTGACGCGAAGTCCACGTGCCCCGGTGAGTCGATGAAGTTGATCAGATAGGAATCCGGATCATCAGCAGCAGCTTGTGGAGAAATATGTCGACTAAGTTTCAGCGTAGGGTTGTAGAAAAGCGCCACAGCACTTGATTTCATCGTGATACCACGCACCTGCTCTGCTTCTAAACTGTCCATGAATCGTAGCTCACCCGCTTGACGAAAAGATATGATGCCATTTGTGGCAAGAAGAGCATCAGCGAGCGAAGTTTTCCCTTTAAAAAAGTAGATAAACGAAGTTTTAATGAAAACTCCCCTAGGCCTTGGTAAAATGAGTCTCACTGATTTGAGTCTTGTGGATATATGTAGTTCAAATGCTTATAGCAGCAGCACAAATAGTATGCCAAAGGTCAATTCCAGCACTTTATTTGATACCAGCTAGACAAGAGTTGAAGGCCATTTGAAACCAAGTAAGAAAGGGCAATCATTTATAAAATTTACGCATCAATGGTGCGTGACAAGAGTGCATGCAAGTTTGGAGAAAATACTGAGAATAATTTAAAAAAAAATTGCAAGCATACCATGATCAACGTGGGCGAGAATGCAAACATTGCGTATTTTATCGACGTGACACGACAAGAACGGCAATACCCGGCTCGCAGAAGTCATCGTATCAAATCAGAAAATCCACAACGAAACATGCCACAAGAAACGGCAGCCAATCTATTTATAAGGTAGAACACTTAGGTCATAAAATTGAACAAAGAATGATCCAATTTGCACACTATTTTGCAGTGGAAAATTGTATATTTTTTAAAAATTTATAATTAAAATTATTATCTTGCATTTTTATTAGCTTTTATTTATAGGAATATAAATAAATTTAATGTACTAACTCAAACCTAAGACACTTAAGGTGTATAATAAACATATTTTTAATTTGTCTCTTACTTGCCTAAAAAGTTAAACTAAACTTGTCTCATTTTAGGTTCACAGAAGTAATATCCCTTGGGAGGGAGAAGCTCACAACTCCTTAAAGCCTTTCTACGTCAGCGACAAGATAAACGGGAACTAATGAGTGACTTACGGTCAGCATGCCTTATGGACGGGAGCCGGCACCTACTGTCAAGGTACCAAGCCCCAAAACCGAGACGATTCGCCCACTAACCGAAGAGATAGCATTACGTGCAAAAATTAAAAGATATGTCAAATTGCTCAAATTAGTCTTTGAATTGTTGACTTAACTTTTCATTTGCACCAGCTGTTGCGTTGCTCTGTTTGCCCTGTTTCCAATACTTGAAATGTTCCTATGTAACTTTTTGGGTTTTGGTTGTGTACGTACACTCATACACAGTCTGAGCCGATTTTATCTGGTAATTTGGTTGGATTCTGATGTTTGCTTTTTCTTTGTAAATTTACTTTTATTTCTTGGGAAGCGCATGGTGGTGTTGTGTGCGCCACTTTCAAAGTTGTCGGGTTGTTGCGTTTGGGTTATGGTGCCGGTCGGTGGTGTGGGCTTTAAGTATTGGCGTAAGCGCATCAAGCCTCTTAGACCCTGGCTTATTGGTCTCCGAATTCCAGAAATCATAAAAGAGTTGGCTGACGTTGTTCCATTTATTTACTTATGCTGCAAACTATCCGTTGTTGAGCAGTCATGGGCCACTCAGCCTGGAGATCCAAAGGCAGTAATAGTGAAGGATAGAGATGTGGGTCTGTTCCTTGTTTTGTATTGTTTAGTCACTAAAGTTGTGTGATGGGCAATTTTGGATTGAGTTGTCGTTGAATGAAGACAGTGAAAAACTAATGGTCTGTGGGTGGGTACAAAGCTATGCACCTAGTTTTCAGAAATAAGTTCAGGAGTCGCTATACTTGCTTTTTCATTGTTTTCCTCAATGAGTATTCAATACATTACAATTTCAATTTGGTATGCCTTTTTTCGACATCCCTTATTCCTTAGGGCCGTTTTGTCGCTCAAGCAAGTGAGGTAAAGTTCGTCAAGGAAACTCATTGTCTTGAACAAGCCTTCGGTTCGATTCCATGCATGTAAGCTTTTTGTTCAATTTGTCGACCACTTACCAAGGTTTGGATTACCTGGTTTCCCAAGCACATCTTGGAGGCAAATGCTGTAATACTGGTTCACATTATTCAGTGACATTGTATTTTGCGAATGTTCTAAGGTAGCTTATGTTAAAGTGCGCGATCGCCCACGATTTTTTTAGGTGTTAACGAGCTTGTTATCTCTTAACTGAATTGCTCTTCCTCGTTTCATTAATTAGTAGTATCGAAACGGTTTCCAATTAGGCTTCATTTTAGTCACTCAGGGTAATTCTCTTGCTTTTTAGAATGACCTGTAAAGAAGAACTGCTTGCGCAACCTTCCACCCCGTAGGGACTTCGTTTTCATCCACCGACTTACTGTTCACCTTGCTTATAGACTGTCTGATGTTCCTGATTTAAGAGACTATTCCTTTGGGGGTGACATGAAAAAAAAAGGCCTGGGTATTTCGTGCTCCTGCAGTAACACTGGCATACCTCAGGTGAGTCCCGCTTGATCTCTTTTACTATTTATTCCACGTTAATGATTATTATCTTACTAGTTCCGGGGAATTTGCAGGATCGTGGTTAGTGAGGTGTGGATTAGCATTTAGTACTGTGAAATTTTGTTATTAACTATTAGTGTTGAAGATGTTTCATATGTAATCTATCTTCCGTTTTTTATCACCGTTTAGTTTCTTTTAAATAATTGCGGTCAAAGCTGGTCTGACTTTGACCGTATTAGACCATGGTTTCACTTCTTAAGTAGATGATTGAGGAGGAGCGATTGAACGCTGACAATGGTGTGGTTGTGGAAAGGCAGGACAATTGTGCTACAGTAGACCAGTGGATTCCCACTCAAAACGCCAGTGGTGAGACTCTAACTGGGCTTGCGGAGGTGGAAACGGATGTTTATCTGGATACTTCGTGTATCTATTCGCACCCGTTGAGTCCCGATGCCGTAAACACTCGGTCAAATGGCGCACCACATCGAGGTACGTTCGTAAAATCCATTTTGCCCCAATTTTACGGTTTGGCGATCAATCGGCTATTTCATTCCCTACACTTATGCAACAATCTTTCGAAATCGTGTGTCTTGCTACTTTGTGTACAAAGATGCACAAATATATTTGCGCTGATGCCGTTTGCAGTGAGCAAACTTTCATCCACGAATTTAATGAAATGTTGCTGATTTTGTGTTTATTCCCCTCTGCATATGCATAGAGGAAAACAGCAGGGATAGTCGGCTACTGAGCGAAGATGTTGTTTCGGGAACCGAAGGAGAGCTTGACTGCCCTAAACGCCTTTCTTGCACTCCACCTGAAAAAGTGATTTCCAACAGCGATATTCCGTTGTTCTGTGGAGACAATTCACCCTTTTTAAATGGTCCAGGTCTACGCACCCTGCCCGATTTGGTAGGTTGTAGATCAACCCATGCAGTTGGTATCTATATCTTTATCTCCTAGAGCATACTATCTTATAAGCCTTTTGTTAAATGACTGCTATGAATTTCTGTCATTGAGTGTGGTCTACGCCCTGACTTGCCTTATTGTTCTTTGCTACCGAAATTAAACTATTCTTTTTAACAAGTCCTGGTTCTAGAAACAACCTAAGTGATATTCGCCATTTCCTGTCTACACTAATGTCTATCTGCATCCAGTATTTTTTATAACTTTTGTTCTCGATGTCATAAATTGCGGCCTACCACTATTAACTATAATTACGATAAGTAGTTAACCGTGTTAATGGTAGTTGAAATAACTGTAATCTCATTCAAGCACTTAAAATACAGGGGGGTTCCTTTTTACTGAAATAAAATCTAATTCGCTTGAACACTAAGCGGCGTTAAATTCATTTCCTTTTGAGTGAAGTCTGCTTTGTTTTACGCAAAATAGATCATAATGTGATAATGTTTCATCTCCGTCACCTAGTAACGAATTTTACTGTCCACACCTGTTACAGAATTCAGATCGCCTCCGCCTTCTCGAAAATCTTGCAAATACTCCAGCTATCGTTTGGTCGACTGATAGGGTAAGCTCCTTCTTTACATTGTAATCTTGCTGCTTTGTTTTAGTCTGGCTTACAACTTGTACAATTAAAATGAATTCTTTAGCAACATTCTAAGTGGGACTTCCCTAACTCCATTTTCCTTTTAAAATTCAGTCGAGCTTTCTTCACTGGCTTGGTGCGCAAGAGGCAACGGTTGAAGTATGCTACCTTGAAGAGGTAAAGGGGTTAATCCATAAAATGTTTTACGGACATGGAAATATGGGGCTTTGCTGAGCAATTTTACAAATCATTTTTAGACTGTTCACGCGATTGATGAGCTGCAAGAGATAACGCCTGCTCGACCATTCTCAGAACACTTCATTAACTTTGCCTTTTCAGATTAGTTGCGCAACTTTTGCTGTCCGATGGTGCTTTTATTGAATATTTTGCATGTATTTTCGCTATTTATGTCTCACGTCAATGGGAATACTCCCACTTTTACGTATTTGCAAGACATTTCTAGAGCTTAATCTGGCGCCAATTTATATTGCTGATTGTGAAATGATTCTTACATTGCGACAACAAATAAAAGTGTGTACAGCAATGCATTGTGTTTGGGATTAGAGAGAGTTCCCGAATGCTTTAAGTGACTCCAGTATAATTTGATCCTAAATGGTGATGAGTGGCAAAGGCAATAATTGCTCACCTGAAGGCAGATGGTGATGAATTCCCTCCTTCCGATTTTGCCATCGCGGTCTACGTCGAATTTCTATTTCAAAAGGCAGACGTGCAATAGTGTCGATGTCAGGAGCATAAAATGGATGCCCAAATATGCTTTGTTTTGGTTCGTTATGACAAAAATACTTCAACGCTGCAATCAGCTATGAACCGTGCCCTTGATCTATGTCATGGGCTTTCATCTTCGTGGATGATAGTGTAACTTGCATTTCAGTTCGATACTGATCGTTACGGGACTGCTTTCATTGCTTTTTTGTTTCCGTCCAAAACAGACTTCCTGTTAGTACATTATGACAGCCATTTGCGCCGCGTTTTCGTTCCTGGGTTTTTATGCGTCTACCGTAACATTCAGTGCCAATCTAGAGGGGCCTAATAAATGATTTGCAAATGGCGAAGTAGTTTGCATAGTTTGGCTTCGGTTCTTGAAGAGTAGCTTAATCCGTTTTGCATAGTTTTGGCGTTTGTAAAAAAAGCTACTAGAAATAAATTTGTGTCAACTTATTACACAGCTGGTAAAATACAGGCCCCACCCCTCAAACATTCATTAAAACTATTATCTTACGTTGAACATCCAGTTCACCTTCTCGTCGATATCCTCCACAGACCCTCTGGAGCCGTGCGGTGCTCCCAGAAGGTTGTGCACGGCTCGAATGAGAGCTGTCAGCTCCTGGCGCGAAATGTAGCCGTCCTTGTCGAAGTCGTAGAGATCAAACACCCAGTTGAGTATTTCTTCTCGCGTTCCGTGCAGCAGGCGGGAGAGGGTTTGAACAAAGTCCTCGCAAAAAAAGTTGTCATCTGCTTTGGAATATTTGGTTGCGATGGTGTGTTTGGCACTCTCAAACGCCACGCATTATCAAAAAATGGAGCATTTCTTTTCATTGAGTAATCGTAACACGTGTTCATGGGTGGAGGTTTGTCTTAACTTACTAAGACGTATTCGTGACTGATGTCATCCGAACCGGGGTCATGTATCAAATTGACAACTTTTTTGCTTGCAACGTCGAGGCATGATGGCTGCCGGGCCCAGTTAAGCAATTCGGAAGTAGTAGAATTTTGTAATCAAGATTAGAATAATGTAAATGCTTACGCGCGTCTCGTTTCACGACAAAATATAGTTAAAAGTACTAAGATTATCGTAGTTTGAATTTTTTTACAATCACAAAATAAGTCAAACTTTGTTTATTACATCTTAGTCTATCATAGCCAAATGGTCATTTAACGCTACTTTTGTAGCACATTCTTAAAAAGTGTATGCAAATGATACGCTGGACGCTCGGATTCGGTAGTAAGATACTGCAGAAACATACCGAAAAGGTTATGTGCCCTCGGGAGCATTTGTCGAATGCATTGAATGTGAGGATTGCGTAGCTTTGTGACACTAAAAGTGGTAATTCAATTCGAACGTGAATCAAGGCCGTGCCTCAAGTTTATGCAAATGCCATCAAAATTATTTTACGATGCTGAACGCTTTAAATCTGGAAAGTTTTATTGCTCACAACCTTTCCATCGAATACATGGTGTAGGGGACGAGTTTGGATTAACGTCGGACGGCTTGTGAGAAGCAAGTGGTTCCTACTCTGAGACCTGAAGCTTGAAATCACTCTTATTGGCGCTTTCATTTTTGTGTTGGATGTGTGCTATTGTTTCGGGGTAATAATTTTTTGCAAGAATTATAAAAGAATACACCCATTAGACATCATGGGATAGACCTAGTAGTGTTCCCATTTTTTGTTGCTATGTTTGGGAGTTGGTTAGCTGTTTTGACCTGCCTGACTTACTGGCATGCATTGTAAAGCACTTGAGTTAGTGAAATTCTCGCTTTTAGAAATAAGAGGGTAGGGTTAACGCCTTGTAGTAAGGTGTGCATATTTGCGCAGGATAGATGGTTTTCGATGTCTGAAAGGACATACACCCGTCTCTATACAAGACAGATCAAAGGAATGCTGGTAATATCTCACCGGCCTCGTGAAAGACGTAGCTGAGAGCTGCACAGAATGTCTCCTTGGTAGCAACACCAGAATGGCAGACCTTCAAAAAGACGCAAAAGATAACTAGGCCGATATTAGAACGGGTCTGACCTCTGCACCTCATAAGGAAGAGCATATGCCTTGAGATGTTGCCTTTCTTTTAACTGAACATGAAGTGCTATTAATCCTTTGTCAAAAATTACCGAATCTGGCATTAGCGCATTTAACTTAATGCCTCTAAAAGGAAATCTCTTGGTAATTTAAGCAAAGATTTTTTGTTTTTGAATCTCATCAAATACCCGAAATAAGTTGAATGTGGTTTTTGGCAGTCTTTTAGGTTCAAAAAGCCTTGTTTTTAGCAGGTTTAAATCGAATCCTAAAGATGCTGTTTAGTGAAGTTTTGAATCGACAGCATTTGGAATGAGTTTTCTCTTTCACTATTTACTAAATTCATCTTCAAAACCGGCTAATGATGCAATATATAGGAGGCCCGCTTGACCCACTCTGCTATTTATGACGTCCGTGGTATTTATGTTGTTGTATTCTTTTCTACTTCGATCTATTAAATATAAATGCTATATTTGTTGGATTTTAATAACCTTGTCGGCCATCTGTAACACTTTCTACACATACTAGTTTCGTGACTTTCAAATTTCAGTGTTTTGGGTGGATTTTCATCAAGTATATTTTATCAACTATCAACTACACAATCTCAGAGGGCACATCCTTTTACTGAAGGTTGGTGTGTGAGAAGAGTTTTACTACCTAGTTGGTGTTGGGCTTATTCACAATATGGTGGTAAAAGAAAGGAGGCGCATCAGCATTCCTGAATTAATTTCAAATGCAATGACATCTGATGGATAACCCAGGCAACACTCCTGAGTAGTGGAAATGAAACTATGGTTAGTGATTAAACGGAAATATTTACAATCTGTCATTCATGACAAAAATGCCAGGCTTCTGTGATAGGTTACTTGTGTAGATGAACAAGTCACGATGTACTCAGTGACTTTAAGCACCGCCTTTTCGCATAAACTACTCGAGAGGAAAGTCATGATTCTCATCATTGGGACTATTTTACAAAAAAAGAAATGGTTGAATCTCTCTCGGGAATTATCTTTGTGTTGTCATCAGATTCAGCATGAAATTACATCGAGGTGATGAAATGAAATAAACAGACCTTTTGAGGACATTTAAATTAAACTTAGGGGCATTTTAGAAAGCATATTTGATCTTGTGTTAGTGGGAATAATATAAACTTTTATTACTCGTAGATGCTGCTCCACGTCAGTAACGTATTCTATCAGGTATGCCCAAGTTCAAAAAGCAATTTTGTTCGTAATCAATGAGGTGCATCAACTATTACTTTTTGAAAAACAGCGTCCAACGCTGCAGAACCTGTAACTTTTCCACAGATATTCTGGGCAATTAGGTAATAGCAAGCATAGTCTGGTAACTAAGCAGTCAAATTATGAGGAAAGACGTGCTTGCTAGTGTGATGCTCTCATTAATTGTTTGACTTCCAGTTTTGATAATGGGCCACTTAGGGACTCCGCCATTGCACTTCCGCCAGGCAGCCGGGTCTGCGGCCTATGGCAGTGGCCCTAAGCCCTTCTGTTCGTCGGCAATGCATATTATGCTCGAGTATTATTGCCTTCAACCGCCTTCAGGGAGATTTCAGGGCACTCGAATAGCATGTTCAATGCTGCACTATGTCATATGATAAGTAAACTTGTTTTGGCATGGCAAGGAAGCATTACGGCAATGCGTTTTTGGTTGCATAACAATGCAATATAATTTAAAGTTTATGGTCGAGTATTCATTTTGCTGTAACTTGAGTGAGCAAAGCCCGAAAGAAGATATAGTTTGACTATGCGACATTAAATTGCTCAAAAACGGGAGAACAAACGCACGTTTTTGAAGGCCTTGTAAAGGTGCCTCAAGTCATTTGCCGAAAATTTCGTTTGAGCCACCAAGGTGTGAAGTGGTGGAGGGGGCACATACGGACCCTGCCGCTTGTCTGAATCACAAACGATATCTTCGAAAAGATGAATGAAAGAGATAACCTGATTTGCTTTTTTTATGATGACGCCTTCCACCTACCTCTCTCTTATCTGTTGCCGTGTAGACAGAAGGGGACTTATGTATTTGTAATCTTACTATCTACGGAATACCTATTCATCCTTACACTTTAGGATTATGATTTTCCTGTTAGCCGTTATCACTTGGAATTCAAAAAGCATGGCTTTCTTGTTTTTTCCTTTTTAAACAAGCTTCTATTCCTTCTTTGTGAGAATCATTTTTGCATAACTCACGACATATTCCAACGTTTAATTGACTCGAAATCTATAGCAAAGGACAAATAGGATAACAGTTGATAACCATTTAGGATTGAATTCAGCATTGCAACTAGGAAAGATTAAATACTTTTGGTCGAGTTCAGCCTTGATAGGTGTGGCAAGAAGGGGAGCTTCATTGCATCCATTAAGCATTTCGCCTGCAAATATATTCGTTCTTTTTTCAAAAACAGCCAAAAGAAAACTAGGTCCCTTGTGTTTTATATTTTCTAGCGGAAATGACAAACCTAGTCGTGATTCAGAAACCCAATGTCCTCTTTGTATTGCTATCTTTAGCAGCTAAAGCGTATCATTCGAACAAGCTATAAAATTTATTGCGACGGTTGATTATTTCATGTTTCCAAATCCCAAAGAATGTATATATTTACGCGTATTCCTTCACTGTAAAAGTGAGGGACGGTGAATAGAGAAGGACCGAAATTTAGCATATGGTAAACAGTCCGGCCAATTTTTTGGCATGAATAATGGGAATGGCTGAAATGCATTTTCGATTAACCACACCCAATTACCTCGTCGCGAGCAGAAAGACTTTGCCTCCCACACATTAAAAACATTCGTCGAAACACTAAACAAATTTCCCCAAAATTATTTAACTTAGTCCGTAAAATCTGCAGAAATGCTATGGATAATTTTTTGTGGAAATTACTCCAATTCAAAAAGAAATCCAAAAATCACTCCGTTGGCCTCTGTTTTTTAGCCTTTAAAACTCATAGATTTATGCTTACTCGTTCATTGTAGAAGAAATTTATTTCACGAAAGACACTTTTATTTGAATAAGTATTGAGAAGTTCTAAACAGACATCTAAAACCTGTGTACCGGAAGGTTCCTTACTTTACAAAAACCAGCAGAAATATTCTTCACTGCCAAATGACTAGAAAATAGAGTCTAGTATTACTGCCATTCAGGCAAGTTGGACATAAAATGACATCAAAATACTAAAAGGTATGCAATTTCTCGTAGTAGACAACCGCTAACGCTAGTTATACAATGAATAAACCTGCCAACTTATACTGTTCCTACATATTTATTCAACCTGATTCGAGAGATATGAGAACAATGATAGAGATTCTTTAGTGATTTAAGTCGAACATCGCAACATTTTCCATATTACCTGAAAACTTCGCTAACGAGTTGAAATTCTGAATTTGACCACCTTTCAGTGTCATACCAAAAATAAAATTATAAATGTCGTTTCACAGGAAATGATAGAGGCCTACCTTTTTCGTGCTTCCCAGTAGCCACTGAGCTGTACATGTTGAGGCGCCCATATAAAGATAACTCTTCTAACCATGCTCGGGTTTAAGGTACCGTTTAAATAGTCCGGCCAATAAAAAGCAAGAACAGAGCCCTTGCCCCTAGGTGGCCAATCGTCGTTAAGAGACAAATCCATATTTTGGGCAGTAACACTTGTTGTATTGTCATAAATTAAGGGAGGGCTGCATTTAAAAATACGCGTGAAAACAGCGCATTAGTTAAATCTGCGTGGTGTCGCAGACATGGAATACATTCTCTAATTAATAAGGATTATGATGTACATTGTGAATTAATGTCATCCTTTGATGAATGCTGAGGCATCATAAACTTAAATCACTCTGTGCCTAACAAGAAAATAAATCATGAAAACCAAATAATTTGTAGCTGTTAGGGAGTATGCCCATTTCATTTCATGCGTGTTGATATTCCGAGAGAAATGTTGAGCCCTAACTGTAGGTATAGTAACCTAAACGACTCAGTTGTAGGTAAAAGATCAGTGCCTTAGTGGGAACAAAAGTATCCTGCAGGTCAAGCCCCAATCGCCTTTACCTTTTTGGCAATCGTATAAGAAATTACAGCAACGGAGAACAGAAGCGGTTAAAGGAATCTAATTTCCTGCCACAGACCTTTAATTCGAGAAAAACTTTAAATGACAAAGTAAGAGACAAATGTTTTCTTGAAAAAAACGGATTAAGCAAACCACTTTCGGTAATCAATGTACCAGTTAAATATATGTATGACCGAATGATGCAAAAGTTTATTCCCTGGGGGGATAGTATGCAGCGTTACAACCTGCTCTGGCAGTATTAAAAGGTTGTGTGTATCGTACAAAGGTGTCCATTTAACCCTCATTTGAAATTAACACTGACAAATATAATCGGAAAGATGCTGCTTGAAAACACTTGAAAGCGTGCCGCGTGTTTAAGGACTAACGAAGAGCAGTTGAGTGCTAAAATGGTCAATCGTTATGGAATACAAAAAAAGAATTGGGCCAAAAAGGGTTGGGATCACCCAGAGCCCTTCGTTATGCAAACAAAGTGAGCCCCTTCGACGTAGGTGCAGAATACAACATTTCAGCACCGCTATCCTAACTACTGTGACGGTTTAGATTGGCCCACCGAACGAGCCAAATGATTCCCCACATTGTTCATGATAAAAATTAAAAAGCATATATGATAAGCACTGTTTGTAAATTACAAAGATGTGTTGCTAAAAATCACATGTACTAAAGAGACCGGAAATTTGAAGAGAATGAACAACGAGGGCAACATCTATTCCAAAATAGCGGAAGTCATTACTCTAAAATAGTGATATTGATAACGAAATCTATGCTCGAAAATAAGTAATAAAAGTAGACTCGAACTTTCCAAATCGCATCTAACGTGTAATTATTAGAAAACAAAATACCTTTTTGCTCACAACATCAAATTAATATAGACTCGAAAAAACCCTTTTATTAATGCAAACTTTGGGACAAAACCTCCAAGACTATTGCCCATGTTTGGTCAAGGAGGTGGCAGCGATGCATAATAAGGACGTGACAAAAGGTTGAGAGGTCAGTTTTACTTATTAATTGCCTTAACAAAAGTTTGCTGAGGGGGAAATAGGCGCCCATGCTGAAAAATACCAAGTTTAAACGCTGAATTTGAGTGTAAATAGTTAGATATGAAAACACGGACATGAAAGTGGTGGGTTTATATCCCTAACCCATTTATTATTTCCATATTTTCAAAGATTGCAAATTTACTTCATTTAGAAGTTGCAAATTCATTCTACTTTTGAAAAAAAGACGAAATTAAGTCCCATGATAAGCGGTTGCCAGCGGAACAAAAAAAAGCCAAATGAGAAAACCACTCCCGCTAAAGGCAGTCAAATGGGTAATATCTAGTACCGGGTCTATTAAAAGAAGGCCGATGCTAAACAAATTGAACTCAACAGGACTTTCGCTAAGTTGTAAATATTTAAAAAACAACGGGACGCAATTTATCAGCATCTCTGAACCGTAACAGTGGAAAGTCATATTGGGCATATTTGGACGATAAAGTTTAATAACATGAAAACTTCTATTTGTGATGTCAAATTGCTTTTGTGATTATTGAGTTCCCAAAACGCAACCTTAAGAGTTAAACATTAAAAGGCTGTTAGCCACAACAGTTTTTTTTTCAGACAAAGGATGCTGAACATTTAATTTCTAATTATAATTCCCTCTAAATAATTGGAACGGTTACTTCAAGAACTCTCGAGATGACTGCATTTTTGTATTGCTGTCCGACTATATTCTCCCTGCAATCCATGAATGCACAAAAACCCATTATCAAAGCATTTAACCTTCTGCTTCCATGTGTTTTTTAATAAAGTACTTTCGCCACTTATAACAGTGGCCAACACCAAATTGTAATAATATCACCTAATAGAGACCATTCAAAGAGAGAACTAGCCTTGCAAAATCTAATTTTTCTTATTAAGAAAAAGACCATAACCACTAAGGCGAATCAGGATATTTAACAGGCAGTTTAGATGACGGCGGGTTGCTACTTAAAATAAAAAAGCGTAAAGAATCTCAATCTGCCTACTCTTTATTTATATGGGTTACCGACTCGTGGAAATAACAGTGTAACCCGAAAATATCTTGAACTGAAAGCAATCTTGAAAAGATTCACCGCAATTAGTACTTTAATATCATCTTAAATTCGTCTTCTTGGTGTACAATACATACATGACCTAAAAATTATTCGTTTCTATTTTTTGCTTTCCTTACTTGATCGAGCATTATAACTAAAATGGCCACTTGATAGGAAACGGTTGATCAGAATTCGAGCACAGTTTGAATCACTTTTTAAGCACCATTGCTCATTCTATATGGAAAGCATAATAGTTGAAATTTTAGCTTTCTTCATCTTTTAGTTAAAATATAAAAGGCCTGTCAGAGGGGGTTATTGACTAGACTCCTCTGTTTCTTTCATAATTAATTGCAATCTTAAGGCTGAGGAACTTGTTAGTACCACTTTCCTATGTCACCTCTTCGGAATGCTAAATCACAACAGGAAATCTATTTTAAGAACAAACTATTAGATTAGACCGAAACGCTTCCAAGACAAACAAAAATTCTAAAGTTTGATGTAGCGTCCTGAGTCTTTTCTAAAATTGTAGGAAGTCATGGCCATGGCGCCAAGTGGAAGCACAGTTTGCGGAGCCTTAAGTGATCAAACGCAGTTCAGTAGACTACTAAAGCATTACAGTCAAAGCTATGCAAAATGGAAGCGGAATTTTTTGAAATTGCAAAAAAGTGAGGTTTATGCTCTGCTTTTAGTCAGAATGGTAGTAGCTGGAATAAATTTCCAGTTTAATGCAGCGATGTTTACAAACACTTTGAAGAAACGTAGCATTCATGTTTTATTTATAAATATTACAGCCAAATTTTCCCCTTCGGGTACTTTTTATCTTTACTGCTTCCTCTCAAATTGAGGTGCATTGAAGTAATTTCTCCAAGTGTATGACAAGTCCGTGATGCTAAAACCACTTTGGTAATTTAGTATTTTTGTCATTCACTTTAGATTTCAACATCTCACATGAGAGCAAGTCTTCGAAGGGAGCAATTCTCCCAAGATGCAAAGCTTAAATTAATAATGAAGTTTGTGTTGGGCTAATGAATTTAATTATTTTAGCAAAAATTAGTTAGTTCAGAGTTTTAAATTAAACTTTGCCGACCAATATTCGGTGGTCAATTTTACGAACTGAGACAGTAAAGCGGTAGAAATCAGTTTTATTTATTTACTTTTGGGTAAATTACTTACCCAAAACGACGTAGTCATCTTCAAGTTCATCAATCCTGGGACGTTTCAGAGGCTAAGACTTTTCTTCCAGTGGTTTTGGCTAATTGGATCATGTTTCATTCTTGCGTCCGGTGTGAGCTCTTTTTAATTTTTTCATTAATCCAAAACAGAATCAAATAGTATTAGGTCAAAATAGCCTTTTCCTTGATTCAGAGGGTGGATCATAAACCAGTACGACTTTCCGGTTTTTGCATATTCAGTGGTTAACTAGCGCTCCGACACGACATTACAGAGTATCCAATTGCATTTGTGGCTTGTGCATAAATTTTTTTCTTGAGGCACACTCATGGCACACTCTCGAGCTCGCCGTGTGGATGAACCAATCGGAATCCAAAGGCGTCTTTTCACACTTTCATCGACTTAGGGGCAAAGTTTGTGCTCATTTTCTGCATCATTGGTTGTCGATAGCGCTGCTATTCATGTTTTGTGCTTTTATTGCTGAAACATGATCACGAAGGCGGTCACCAGCGTAACACAATTCGCTACCACTCCCCAGCCCGATCATCTTATGTCAAACTCCTTCCTCGCGTGGTCTGGTGGCGTTCTTAACATTACCAACAGTGCTTTACTCATCTTCGTTCTCATCCTAATTTTCATCGCTATAATTCTCGGGTGTGTTCTGCTAATTTGTATCTTCAGGTGTTGCTGCTCCAAGCGCCAGAAACACAGACCTACCTATCAGAAAATGCCATCTCTTTATGTCGATCAATTGCCAGGTCAGGGTGGTAAGGTGGATGCCCTAGGGACGTTGGAGTACTCTCTCGAATACAGTATGAAGACAAACGAACTGAAAGTGGGTGTCATTCAAGTTATGGACTTGAGTGCCAAGTCGGCCTCTGATCAGCTGGATCCCTATGTTAAAGTGATTCTCGTCATCGATGATCCCGTCGACAAGCCCAAACCAAAGCATAAGCAAAGGTCGCCAATTTACAAGACGGACATCAAGCATAACTGCCAAAGCGCGTGTTTCAATGAGCAATTCAGCTACAAACTGCCTTATGATTGCCTAAAACGAGCCCATATTCGCTTGATTGTCTATGACTACGACTCAAACTTGAAGGATCTTGTCGTTGGTGAGGTGTTTGTCAGTCTGGAGGCGATTCCTATGGAGAACTACGTTGGGAAGACGTATGAAGCTGTGGGATATTTGGGCCCATCATTAGGCGCAGATGATGAGCCAGGGCAACTTTGTATAGTTCTCAAGCAGGTGCTTCAATCAGAGGAACTTCATGTGCACATTTTAGAGGCACGCCAGCTGGCGCTCCCTCTGTTGCACGGAAAGCGGTATCCAGATACTCAAGTCTCGGTTACTCTGCACATTGGAAATAAGAAGCTTGCCAACAAAAAGACAGGCTTCCGTGAAGGCAATGTTAATCCTTATTTCGGCGAGACCCTGATATTTAACGTGAGACGAGACAAACTTATAGTTGCAGATCTGACATGTAGTATCAAGTACCGGGCTCATGGAGGACTGCTAAGGACCTTTGGAAAGGTTCATCTTGGAACAACTGTGAACGAGGCATCTAATCAGAAACAATGGAATGAAATGATCCAGAGCCCCGGTAGACCAGTAGCTATGTGGCATTCCATTGTTCCCAAGGTCGAACACCACTAGACGCTAGTTAACCTTCATCACTCAAGATTCTGCTTCTTTTGAACCTAGTGTTTACTTTAATCTTCCATTTATTGCGTAATTTTGACAGTAAGCTTATGCATGATTGAGAGAATGCAAGTGTGCATCGTCCTTACTAGTATTTATGCTTCTCGGTTTGAAATTCACAAAAGCCAGGTACGTTATAATGTGCAAAGCTGAACAGCACTTTTTTTAAATGAATAATTTTTAACTCTTTAGGCTTGAATATTTTGGTCGTAGTACCAATTAGATCCTCGCCCTTTATGCGTATGTAGATTGTCACCCCATCCGCTTTAAGTTCGTTATCAGAGTTAGTATCAACCCCTTTAAATTGTGTTATTTTTTTAAGCCGATACTTTTTTAAACGTACCCATTTTTAATTTCAACTCTAGTGTCTTACACCACACTGTGTCATAAAAAGTATCACTGAGCTTAAAACGACCTTATCTGCGCATAACCGATACTCTGTCCTGTAGTTTGATGCAGCTCACAGTTTGGCATATGTAGTATTTGTAAATTGGTGCACGTAGGTTGGCGATAGTGTAAAAGTCCATCTTTCAGAAGATGCATTAATTTGCCTACCATGCTTACCGATCCCTCCATCTGAGAATGTACTAAGCCTAACTTCTTTGTCACCACAACACATGACTTGATTATCTTCAGTCGGCTAAACGCAAGTTTTGAATTCTTGTGTACAGCGATAAGTTGGCATTTAATGCTATCATGCCTAATGCCGTTACGCCATTTAGTACCCACCTCTGCCTGCCTGCTTAATCACTCGATTTGATAAGGACCCCGGTACATTAACGAGCCGGCTCTTGTATCACAGTTGCTTATCACGCCCGATGAAATGACTCAAGTCGAATATTTGAAATGGTTATAATATGTAAGATTGCAAAACGCTCTTGGATTCGAACGACATGACCTAGCAATTGGTTGTGTCAAAAAAATAACGCTTAGGAGGGAAAATTCAAAATAGGCGATCGACTTACAACATCGACTGGCATTTAGGCGCCCATATAGAGGAATCGTGCACACTGATAATCCAATTCCCTGAAAAGTTAAATTACGCACATTCATCAGAGCTTTTGGCAGTATGCTTCGTAAAAATGATACATTTTATCAAACAAGTCTGCAATAACTAATATCGGTAATTCAAGGTTTCCTTCCTCCAGGCTCTGAGTAATGTGCATTGCATGATTTCCTAACCTGCATATACAAAATCAAAATTTCGAGCGAATCCATTCCTTGCACATACGTATGCATATTTCGAAGTCCCTTATTGGTAAGAACTCTGACCCGCATTAGAACTACCAGCATGCGAACTGTGCGCATGCTCCAGTTCAACTGCATGAGGACAGGCGATTCCCACTGCACTGAACCACCGAATCCGGGTGGGACTGCGTTACACAACTAATGCTTAGCTAGCATTCAGGTCAGCAGTATCTGTTCATAAAAATTCCGTCGAATAAAATTTATGGATGTCAACCATTAACCCAATTTCCACCTTGGAAATGCTTTCCAAAACTTCAAATCTCAGTGCTTAATTTGCGTAGAGGATTTCTGTCTGTTTAGGTACTTATTGTAATGCATGGACACAGATACACGCCTTTAGAGAATAAACTGGAACCAAAGCTGTGAGCAAGAAGTAGACAACACTCATTAACAAATAAAAACTCCTTCAGAAGCCTTCAGGATGAAATCAATGGACTTGATGCTGTTCGGCTATTTCGGAGTTTAGAGGTAATTTGTCTATCGGGTAAAATATCAAACAGATCAAGGCAAATAAAAACCTAAAATGTTCGATAGAAACTAGAAGCAAATGTTAGTCGAGAAAATCTGTCTGAACTTATGAATTTTCCAAACAATGCGATTTGATTGCAGCAGTTTTAGCAATTGCGTGGATAATATTTCTATAATCTCTTATTGTTCAGAGAACATTGCTTCATTTTTTTTGTGAAATAAGTAGGTAATTCATTCCTGGAGCCTCTGTGATATTCACGGATGGTCATTACCTAGCCTCTGCCGAAAACAATTATCAAAGGAGATTTCCTTCGCGAGTTTACTAGAGTTTATTGGACTTGTATCACCATTCCCTTTTCGACTTTTTTAAGGATGCGTACGAAGATGCAGAGCAAACTTCGGATATTGTTTTAAAGGAGTTGACATGTCCTGCAGATTTGAATGCGGATGCGTCCGTGTGAATAACACCCATTATCATTCTTTACGCAGGTGCTGTGAAAGTGGAATGTCTCAAGCATGAACTACATTTAGAGACTTCCGGATACATGGAGGTGGCACTCTGATAACTATTCGACCGAATACCTGGCGAAAATTAGATGTTTATCAACCTCTAAGTTTACTTACCCAATTCGAAAAAGGTATTTTTCTAATGAGTGGTTGCTGGTAAAGTCGCGTGATTAGGCCTCCGACTTTATCAACATGTTCCCTTTTAGGCAGTCCAATTAGTACGTATTGGTCACCTAATATGGCCTCCTAATAGCAGGAGGCCGTAGTATTTATTTGTGCACATTTTATTGTGAGCCCAGGTGTAGATTATAATCCGAAGTCCAACTGTAATCATTCAGTAAGATTTATGGCTTTAAAATCATTTAGGAACTCTGCCTCAATCACATAACCCTTCAGCAAAGTTTTTTACAGCTCGTTAATCACTACTGGTAGCACTGTACTTTATTAATAGCTCACTAGCAAGCTATCATAAATAGTTTTTCTCATAGGCTATTTTTGGAGTACAAATTGAACTTGCCTAAAGGATGAATCCCCAAATTTTTGACGATTTAACTGTAAAAGCTAATCATCTGGCGCTGTCTTGCATTGGAAGCCTTTCCAAAAGGTATCTCACCAGTGTTAATTTGCGATAAAAGACGGTAAGCGCACCTCACCCTCTATAATGCGTTTACCTGGTCACCCACCTCCAAGAGCATGCAGTTGGGTCGCCGCATACTCACTGTATCTTTCAAGTACCGTTTTTGTGTGGATTAACTAAGGAGAGTTAGACTACTGTGTCAACTCAGTGCTGACTTGCTGTGATGATGCACAGCTGCTTGAAAAAGCAGGCTTTGACTCACACTTACATAAGTGGCAAGATTACGTGGCTTTGACACTGCTTTACACACATATTGCCTTAGATTTAATCGCCAATTATCAGATCAGTTTACATCACACGCAAAGATTTTTTCAATTTTGCAACTAAAGGCCAGCTCTACTACAGGGATTTGCCATCATAATTGTGCAACGTCTTATTTCGTTTGCCGTTACTTCACCCGGGAATGAACATTTTCAACCCTCAAATTAGCTGTCTATTTTCAAAGACTTTTACAGCCGACCCAACAGTTTCGCTCATTGAACGGGATCAAGTTACTCCCACGATATCCGCAGCAAATATAATTGGCGCACACTTTCAACGCTCATGTAGGGATGAAGCACTCATTTGAATCGCAAAACATATGGCAATATGCCAGTAAAGAGCAAGTACGGAGAGGAGAAGAATATGCGTGCAGACCTAACGGCCGACAGAGTTGATACTTATTTTTAAGTAAAACAGTCTCCCCAGAAAAACTCTTAAATAATTATTGATGCGTCATACAAGCAAGTAGATTGTCGGCGCAGTCGGCTCGACTGGACCAGATGTACCAAAGACGGTACGCACACAAGTGGTAAACATGCTAACTAATCCCATGGCTTTTCTTAGCAGCATGGGAATTTTTAGTACTAGTCGAGTAAAATACGTTAAAGTGCTCCGAAAACGTCAAATCCGTGACTGGACAATTTTGGGAACACATATTCCTTGTCTCAATTCCAAACTGGGGCAGTCAGCACAAACCTGACTGTTTTAAGGGACCCATTTGAAAAGTTTTTTAGGCTAACCAAAGGCAGAACTAAATTTTCAATGCTATCGCCTAATCTTTGAGCAAATGACATTAGCGTGAATACATTTACAAGTAATCTGAAATAAATACTATATTATCAGAGGAGACAATGCCGAGAGTATTCCTCTTTCCGATTGAATACAGTAGTTATAGGAAAATTGATGGAAAGGTTCACCTACATCTGTCAACTCTTCTGAAGGAACAGCATCTACGGACTGATCCAAAACAGAGCCTGGTGCTCCAGTTACTGTTAGAAACTAGGCGATAGACTAGTTGAGGAACATGGATGTTGTTATTTCATTATCCCTATCAAGGGTGAAATAAAGTTCACTTCGCATAATTTGGCTAAACTGATTAGCCCCATTGGGTGGTAGCAATGCCAATAAGCCGTCAAAATCAGTCATAAAGTGTGACCTCTGAAGGGCCGCAAAACCAGGTCCACTGACTGCACCAGCCAACGTGCTTAAAAATAATACCGCTTGTTATTATGCAGTTCAGATTTGCCGACAAATTAACTCTGATGTACTCGTAAAAGTTATTTGAAGGCCCTTTATTTTCCCTTCAGGCGCTACTAAAATGTATTTTAAATAACACTAAAATAGCAAATATTCGAGCACAATGTGTAGGTTTGCAGTAGCCTGCAGTCCATTTTAACAAGATTAATTTCTTTTCAAGCGAAAATGTAAAACCGTCATAAGGAATTGCATTAAAATTTCACGAAATCCAGCCTTTTTTATTGAAGAATTCTGGTTCTGGGGCGGAGGTTCGATCAAAATATTCTAAAATTAAAAAAGTACAAGGATTAGAAATGGAAAAAGGCTAAAAAGCAGTATAACTCTGCACCGAATTCGGGAGCAGCATTCTAAAGTAAGGAAACGGTAGAAGCAACCACCCAAGGAGTGTAACTCGCAACGGTTCTGGGAGAAGCTCGCGAAGCATTAGACGGGCGTAGTGGGTGAGCATACCAAAGGTGGCTTCGTACAGCGCACTTGCGCTAGCATGCCTGCCATGCAGGAGCACCACAGCTGATGTGGCGAACCGTCCGTCAGAGTGGCAAATTACTCCCGGTATTTAAATGCAGCACAGCGCTCGGTAATGGGCCTTATGCAGGCTGAAAGAGAACATCGTCTTTTGACAGCCGATGCGTTAACATCCCAGTTTACGAATCACGATAGTGCCTAGCGTTTAATTTATAGTCTCATTTGGTAGAGTATACAAAGCAAGGGAAACGGATTGAGACCACTTCGTCAACCCATGGTCGGGGAGTTTCACTCATAAAAAAGATTGCATTGCCTATCTGAACATTGTCTGGGATGAATGCATCAGCTGACATTAAAACTTGACATATTATCAATTGTGTGTCAATATAACAATATTAGACCTATTTTTATAGTCATTCACCCAGCATTTTTGATTATGTGCATTGCAAAAGAAAATAACAAGAGAGCTTTTTACTGTCGAAGGTCATGAGATCCAAGATGCAGCATGCGTCGCGCAATTTTATTCGGCAGGAAAACTTTCACCGTCATATCGACCTCATAAATGCGTCCTTCGGTTGCGGTCACAGGGGAATAACTCATATATCCAAGTTAGCAACTAGTCTTCAATAAAAAGCGTTAGGGTCTGCAAACACTGGGTAAAATCTTCCTTAAAAGGCATAAAACAGCAGGTAGTCTCGGTTTAGTTTAAGTCTGGTTTGAAACTTTTCATTGCACGAGTACAAGAGGAACCACTGCATTTACCAGTAACTGAATTCTATAGTTCGGTCTTTGATGTAAACATGTCAGTCGAACAGAAAGTCATCATCAAGATGAGATTTTTTTCTTAATCTTGAGGTAAAGAGCCTCCATTCGTGTGGCGACTTACTGATGAGCATACCATCGGCGATGCAGTAGCTGTGGGGTGAGCGTCTGTTGGCGGCAGTAGCAGAGACCTTGTGACTGCGTAGCCAGGCCTGAAAGGAGGCCTCCGCCTGTCGACGCTTCTCCTGCTGCGCCAATTCGCGCACGTAACGCTCCTCCTCATAACGTCGACTCTCCGCCTGTTCTTCCTGCCGCTTCCTGTTCAGCCATTCCTGATACCTCTCCTTGGCTCTTATCTGTTCGGCAGTAAACAAAAAGCACCTCCATCCTCTGTTGTTAAGTGACTCTATTCATGCAAAATGCACTTCAAATTTGTGGTCAACCTGTTTAAAAAATTCGCTGGTGTTAGTAGCGACTATTAATGCATTCGGATGAAAATGAGATCAAATACCTGCTGCGCTTTCTTTTTGGTAGCCTCAGCTTTCTGTTCCAACCTGGCGATTTCTGCCAGCTTCTTCTGCTTCATAGCATCCATATTTTTGTTTTCAATCCACTCCTGCACTTTCGCCTTCTCAATTCGTTTCCTTTCTAGACGCTTCTGCTCTTCTAGTTGGCGTTTGCTTTCGTTCTGTGCCTTTTGAAAAGGCCTTGAGAGGTAAAATTGTTACTTATTTTACATAAGTAGAACTGTTCTGATTGTTTACCTTCAACTTCGTTAATTCGAGTGTGGCTTTGTCGCGGTCTGCTTCTTTCTTGGCCATCCAACGTTCCCATGGTGTAAGCCGCTTTTGAAGTGATAATAGGTGTACACCATTATTGTTGCGGTCTCCAGGTGAATCAGACAATGAACTAGCTAACGCATCGTTGTGTGAATTTAAAGATGGGGCATCTTGCGGTGGAACAACTTTAGACGAAGTCTTCCGAATATATGGTGCCATCAAATGAGTCCTGAAGGTAAAAAAACGATTGCAAACAGAAAGCATGTCTCCGTACCGCAAATGACATCAAAATAAGGTAGCGAGAAGTCATATGAAAGAGATCCAACCAACGAGTTCAAAACGAGTATTGGCAAACGATTAGAACTTTTGGGAGAAATCTGGCTAGAATTTGATAAAACAGCAAGCAATATTGCAAAATGGCATGCTACCAATAGGCAATTAACAGGAAGTAAATGCGAGGCATGACCTGATTAAATGCGCATGAGACTCATCGGAGTTATTATCTAAGTAGTTCATTTTTCGACCCGAATATGCGGACAAATGACGCCGCATCCGACTCTATAATGTAAAAAAAATCACTATCCTTTTTATAGTTCAGGTACCTTTCTGAATGCTACAGTATACCTTACAGCGAGCAGTACAAGGATCGAATATTTAAAACCCGGTAAATCCTCATAATTAACAAAAGGCGAAGGAAACCACACAGCTTATAAAAATGGCGCACCTAAAATTCAATTACTGGTTGTACGAATAAATATACAGCATACTACCAAAGTTTGCGCATACGAGTAAGACACAATACCATTTTTGATATTTCGTCCCAATCTATCTTCACAATAGTTAATGTGAAGTAGGATTAGCAAATTTATACACAAAACACGACCTATTATAGACTGACAAAATTCAGTGACTTCAGGTCGTACAATGGCAGGATTACTCAGAATTATACAGTACAACATCACTTGAATTCATTGACAGTTTGACATTCAACTATAAAACTGAAATTTTGCAGTCGGTTCCAAAGCAAATGAGATCAGTGATTTGGATGCATTAGAAGTCTCAAGTACAGCAATCAACCTTAAATTCCAAGCTGCACAAAACCATTAAACTCCAAAATAACTCCAAGATTTTCGCAGCTACTTTACATTCCGCTGTTATCACGTCACGACTACACAAGAAGAATATAATCTTATTCACTGTTTGCAGGGGGACTATATAAGGGTAAAAGGGCGGTGTCAGTTATCTCTGAATAACAAAGTAGTAAAGATGCACTGTAAAAAATCAAAAAGTGGAAGATTAATGGAAACAAATAATCACAAAATACTTTGGACGCTTCGCTAAGTCGAGATACTTTCCGATTTATCCGATTCGCACCCGACAGAACGTCTGAAGAAGTATCCAAATCAATGCGGCTTTATACCTTCGCTAAGATAACAGCTATTGTGTACAGAAGTGAGAGAAGAAAAACTGGACTCGACTTTATCAGTAACTACAAAATAAACTTACAAAAAATCATTTACCATCATCTGTGGAAGGGTAAGACAGTTCAAGATTCGTTAAAGAAATGTCCGAGAATAGGCTCTGAATCGAATCATTACTTTCTGCGGTATGGTGGATCACATTTGCGTCCATTAGAAACCCCCTCTCCCAAAGTAAATAATATCAAAATTCGCACCTCAGACACGTCCTTGAAGTTTAGTATTATCTATCGTTGTATTTACCGTTTAGTCCCAAAGCCAACAAATAACTATTTTAGCATATTTTACTTGCAGCGACAAGCTGGGTATTATTTTAATAGATGCCATTTTTATAGACTTGCAACTGTGCATGCTTGTATTTCACTGGACTTTGTTCTGCTTTTTCGTGACTTGCATCATCTGTTAAAAAAGGTTTTGATTTCTGCACCAGTTTTGTTGTAAGACCTAAAGTGAGTTCAATTTCGCAGTAATTGGTTTTGATTTTACTCGTTCTTCTGATAAGCGCCAAGTAAGAACTGTGGGAGGGATCACGCTTTGGGTATGTTCCATCCAGACTCTACTAGTAGGTATTTTCTTACAAACGCCTAAGTATAACAATTCTACGCCTATATGATCTTCAAAAAGCGCTCTCACACTGAACTACGCAGATGCCTTGGTTTGGCTCCACTGGTAACCGATTTTGTTTCCTAAATAATCGGTTGGCTCTAGTTTGAACATTCTAGTTTACCATAAAATTCATCATAGTTTTTGCTCTTCGTGTTTAGCTACTTGTTTATTCTGTCTTTACAACTTGCAAAGCAGGGTCTATCGGTGGTATGTTCATGCATTAACCTGATCCAACCCTGATGATTTAATAAATGTTGGGCACTTTTTTTCAAGTCCATAGGTTGCGTATATTTCCCCCATGGCATTTATTAACCCGAAACGGATGGCCACCTACACATTGACACCCACTGGGGCCTCTATTGCGGAAGACGAGTCAAATGTAGGACAACAGATGCTTAAGAAAATGGGCTGGGCTCCGGAAACAGGCATTGGGAAAAATAGGAACGGTATCGTAGAGCCTGTCAAAGTATGTTTTAAACAGTTTGATTATGGTCCAAGGCTTCATGCAATTATGGTAGAAAGGGACTAGGTAAAGGCCTCACTCAGTCTTCTACAGACATGGTTCAGCAGTCAGCCTTTAATACAATCCTCCAGTCTCTCGCTAAACACAAGTCCTCTGTCGTTAAGAACAAGTCCAGACTGGAAGACAAATCTAAGCAAAGCCGTTCACGAGTTCACTATGGGAAGTTTGTTCGGGCGAAGGATGTTTCCCAGTATTCTCGAAAGTCACTTAAGGTTATTCTAGGCGCATCAGTTGATAAAATACAAAGTTCTCCGGAAAACGACGCTGCTTTTTCGGCTCCAGAGGATAGCAGGTCGAGAGGCACAGAAATTAAACAGGAATTCGGTGTTAAAACATACTCCAGCTCTACCGATCTGGCTAGTTACTTTTCATTGAAGAGAAGTGCTCTAAAACCCAGCACTGAGGACTTACCAAAGAGGAAACGCGCGCGTTTTACTCCCACGAGTGACGAAGGCAGAGGAGAGAAACCGTCTTTTGCGGGCGCTACGCCCGAGCTTCCGCATGATGATTCAGGTAGAATTACGTCTTATTTTACGTTTGTTCATTAGCCAAATCTCCCTCTGTTAGTCTTTATTTAGATGATAAGGAGATTCCACGTTCGAGCAAACCCACCGTCTTTGAAGCAGAGCCACATGGTGAATCAAATGCTTTTATTTGCTTTTTTCCCCCACTGAATGCCGAAGTTGTTGGATTACTCATGATTTGATCGGTGACACATTCATCCCCTTCTAGAGAGCGACTCGGATGAACCACCAACAGAAGCACCAGTCGAGATTAAGGAGGAACCCACCCGACGTAAGACTGACTTTGCCTAATATGGCTCTTCTAGAGCGAAGCGCTGCTTTCTCAACTTCCAATGTGCACTCCCTCCCTGGCTACCCTTTCTACTGAAGTTCAATCTGTAAATTAGGAAGATCTGTAAATAAAGCGTTTAGAGCTGTCCTGGTTAGTCATTGACCTTAACCATTTAGGATCCAAAGCTTTGTACTGGGAAGAGTAAAGGTCGGGATATAATATAGCTAGGATTCAATAAATGTGTGTACAAGCAGATGGGAACGGGGGCGAAAACTCCTTAGCGGACATCAAGAGTGAAGCGGTACTCCTGGTCGCAGCCCATGTATGCGTCGGACATAAAGAAGAGGGTGTACTCGTGCTTGCCACCACCCTGTGCTGACGCAGGCACGGTTAGCTCGAGACGCACCTTGATGGATTTGGCCAGGGTTAGGCGCTTGATCGCTATGAGGCTGTTAGTCTTTACCTCTCCTATCACCAACCACCAAGCTTCCTCGCGCTTCTGCAATACCAAATCGAAACACTTTACACAATCTGACATGTGTGCCGCAATTATACTGTTTTCCGCTAATTCGTCGGTCATTCTGCACAACTAGTACTACTAACAGGTGCACGACTTACCTGAGGGAAGAAGGGAGCGAGCACAGGACCCGCGTTGGCCTCATCACGCTCAACGCTCACATTCACGCTAATTGTATCGCCGCTAAAAATGAAACGCAGATTTCGACGATCACATGTAGTTCGCATAGAACGCAAAAACCCTCTAAAATGAACGCTCAAATGCAACCACAAAACCTGCTGGTGGAAGTCCAAAGCAGGATTAGGCGAAAATTCTAAGATGAGTAGGGACCAAAAGAAATTAGCATGTAACCGGCCTTTTGACTTGGGTCTTGCTGGTAATTGGGCCGTTGGGACCAGTGAGTTCATAGTTGACCTCAACATCTGGATAGCGATTGCAGAAGCGCGCAACATCAGCGACCTCGGCCTGTGAGAGGCCCTCGAGAAGCTGAGCTCTTGCACTATCCTCCAGCTCCATCAGATCGAAGATGGATTCCACCCCGGCCTCCTTGCACTTGGAAATGCGCTCAGTGTTGAAGTGGGGCAGTTGTCGGAGATAAGAGTCCTTGTGCCAAACAGCCTGAGTGATCATCTGAGAAAATTCCATGGCCGCGAGAGCGGGACCCAACCAACTGTTACTTGACAACACGTCCACACAAGCCTGTAAAAAAGAGAACAGATCGACCTGTTAGCAAACGCAGACAGGGAGAAGCATGGGAGGTTGGTGCCTAGGTTGGAAGTCACCTGAATGAGGCGAACGGTGCAGACAAGAAGTTTGTCAGTGTCTCCCTGGAGCTCTGTGGAAAGACTGATGCGCGAGAGGTGAGCCTGCAACAGAAGATTGGCCTTCACATGAGGGCTGGTGTAACTGGCCTTAGGGGCGAGTTTTTGGGGCACTTTAGTAGCCAACTGGCGCAGCACCACATCCTCGTGATGGCGCACTGGCAGGAGGGTGTCGAACTCTGAGGCGTTGCTTATGACATCCAGTAGCCCACGAATCTTCATTTTGTTTGTCAGTGACAGGCTAAATAATTCTACAATTGAGGAAGTAGCGCAAAAATGTCCATTATGCTGACGTGTTCAAGTCACAATATAACCGTATGGTAATTAAGAAATGATAGAAAGAATTAATATGAATTGACTTAAATCCCGCAAATATGCTTAATCAGGTGCACGATTCAACATGTTACGAAATAATCCCAATTTTAAAGTTTAAAATGACCCTTTCTGGGCTGACAAAACCACCCCTTACGAGGCACGATAGTCTCCTCTAATAATGAGCTACTTGTGCGATTGAAGGCAAGAACTACAGTTCCCCTGTTTTTTGATTTCCAAACATGTTTCCAGAAGTCATTTTGAGAGTTTACTATAATCAGTAGGAAACCACACATTTAGAGACAAGACGATCCTGCTTGGTAAAAAAAGCAGAGTATAGTAAACAGTAATTAATGCTACGATAAACAAAGTGCAGAGCCAATGTTAGAAAAAGAATCAAATAATCTAAGTTCAGCTACTATCCAAACCGTAACGACGATGTTTAATGAAAGGATTACAGTGACATTTCCACAAACAAGGACACATTTCAGCTGCGGACGTGTTCAAGTTAAAGAGCATGGAATAGAACAGGATTGAAAATATACATGGAACGCACATACCGATGGTGCTGTGATAGATGTAGTAGTATGCGGCAATCATGCCCAAATTGAGCGGAGAAAGGTCCATCTCATCCTCAATGGCAATGCACTTAGACTGCTCCAAATCGGTCAGTGTTGTTTCCACCAGTTCACTCAAGTGATCACTGAGATGACGATGAGTGACACCCTGCAGAAACAAATCAGTCCGATTAGGTATCAGCCTGATCATCCAGTTAGTAGTGATTGGTGGTCCTAAACAGCGGGATCCAGAACGGCATGACATAGTGTTGATAAAAAAGTGAATGAAATTACCGATGCTTCTTGTACAAAAAGAAACATTAAACCAAAACAAGGAAATAAAGTCATTTTAGCAGAGGAATAACCTGTAAGTTGTAGTAATTGGGGTTTTGTGTCATTCGTCGGTAGAGGAATGTCCATGTCAAATAATCCACAGCATCTTGTTTATTCTCAATGGTCTTTGTGACAATTTCCGCATTGAAGTGGTCGTGAAGTTCGTGATCCAAGTGTGATTCAACAGGAAGAGGGTCGTGCAGAAACTTCTTCAAGTACTCTCTTTTGCCCGTTTGACAGAAGACAATGGCCTTCGAGTCACTATCCAAACCAGGTCGGTTCGCACGGCCGACCATTTGAATCATGTCAATGATCGGATAGTCCTCATAGGCATGGATCTTGCCATTGTAGTCCTGCGTATCCAGCACAATGACCAGGTAGGCAGAAATGGATGAGGCCCAGGCGAGATCGCGAGAAACAACCAAGGTATGTAGGGCTCCAGCGGCGTATAATGCTTCCACTAAACGCCTGTCGCCCTTATTCAGAGCCTTGTGCAAGTACGCCACACCACCTCCGTAACGCAGAATCTCAGAGAGTGCGTTGTCCGAAATTTGACTCGCAGCTTTCTCTAGGGCTTCCTCCAAATGACCAGAAAGAGGCACGAACTTGGGCATTTGCTGTTGTTGAGTGCTACCCAGTGTGTTGGCGGTAGCCTGCATAGTAATCAGATCGAGCGCAGTTCGTTGGGCCTGTCGTCGTGATGTCACAAACACAATGGTAGGTCTATGCAGACCTGGACCGCCACCAGTACTCAAACAGGCGTGGCGATTGATGGCCCGAAACATAGGTCGATTTGCAGCCATCAAACGACTGGCCTGGTGGGCGAAATTGAGTTCCACTATGGAGAGATCGAGAGGTAATGGGCGAGTATTGGGTTGAAAGTTGTAGCTGGCACCAGCAGAGCAGCCTAACCAACTTGCCATGTCGCGCAGATTTGTGACGCTGTGCGCTAGACCAACTATGCGCAAGGGCTGGCCACTGGACTCAATTTGACTCGCCATATAGCGCATACGTGAACAGACCACTTCGTAGACAGGTCCGCCTTCCGCACCAACGAGATGGAGGTCATCGGCAATGAAGAGATTAACACCTTGCACGTGCTTCCGCTGCTTCCATCGGCGTGATAGTACATCCCAGTGATCGGGAGTGGTGACAATGATTTGGCCTCGGGCAAGCAGCTTCAAGTCGACCGAGGTCTCACCTGTGAGACGAACCACGCGACGACCCAGCTTGGTGGCGAAGCGAGAGGACCAATCGCTAAAGCGCAGTTCTGCCTGCTCCTCGAAGGGTGTAACGTAGACGCACTTGAAAACCGGTTCACCTGATTCGTCGACCTGTTGATTCGCCTGTGCTGTGGTCATTAGACGGAAAAGAGCCAACTCGGCGCAAACTGTCTTCCCGCTTCCAGTGGGTGCAGCAATGAAAACGTTTTCATCCGAATTGTACAACGAGTTGAATACCTAAAATGAGCGAATATGAAAAGAGCCAGTGTCTAACCTCGTATTCGAGTCCAAAAATTTTTGCGTAATATTGATAATATCTATTGGTATTCCTACAATAAAAGTGATTCGTGAGGAAAAAATTTGCTATTCACAATAACGTCTAATAGAGAAGTTGGAAAGAAATTAACTGAAATACACTTTATAAAGTAACTTCAAGAACGTACCTGTGTCTGGATGGGGTTAAAATCTCGAATCTGATCGGCGTAAAGGGCTTCGAACTCCTTGTTTCTTAAGGCAGTAACTGGAAGAGGCTGCAAGTCCAGCAGTTCGGTAGGAGGAACGGTCTTTTCAGGGAGGATGAGATGTCTGAATGAGACTGGGAGTGTAACCTCCCCACCAATCCATCTATCTGAGACTGCGCGAATGTAATAATGCGGTGGAAGTGGGTCGAATATGGGCACAGTGAAGTGAAGCACATGCTCCTCTGTGGCGTAGCGCTGTTTCAGCAAGAAGAATTCTCGATGGAGAATAGTGTCACCATCCACGTCCTCCACGAAGATCCAAAATGCCTGCGTATTTCCGTGAGTTTTTTCGTCCCACACGAAGTCGGGTGTGAGCGTGAGCTCCACACGGAGAACAGATCTAGTCACCGGCTGTACATGTACGCTCATCTCGAGACGGGGTAGCTGATGCAGGTACTTGTGGAGAGGCTTGCCTAGCTTAGCAGAACGAACTAATTCGCCCAACTCGTGATGATTCATGTCATAGAGACGCTCAAAGGGAAGAGCCTTCTTTTCCAATTTTGTGATAACCTCGTCAGGCAATTTTTTGAATTGCCTCAGTGGGCACATGGACTCCCACATTCGTCTCTCTATCATTTTCGCGAGGACAAGCGCGTTGTCGGCCAATTCCGCCCATCCCTTGTGGAGGACAATTTCAAAAAGCGCTCGCATCAACCGACCCGCTGATTGGGTTATGAAAACCATATCGGATACCAACGAGAAACCCTCCAATTTCAGACCAGATATGTAGGCTTGTAGTAGACAATTTACTTTTGCGGATGAATCATCTGCAGCCTCTTTGATTGGAATCGGGACGCGCTCTAGAAGTTGAGCCAATTCAAACTTCTCCTCCTGCCTCACAGTGATGTGCTTGAACTCGGAACTGGCGGCAAATACTCGGAAGAGTTCAATTTCACCAAGACCTGGTCGGAGCAGTTTGTTGTAAGTTTGAACGGTTTCGTGTGTGAGATAGAAGTGAGAAGCGATGCGACCCAGTTCTGTAGACTCGAAATTGCCTGTACGTCTTTCATAGTTGATGAGACCGCAGCGCTCAAGGGCGATTGCAGCGGTGTGAATGAGATCTCGACGACGCTGCTCCAACCAGGGATCGGTGTGTTCACTCCCCGTGGGGACACCGTAGAGTGAGGGAGCTCTGAGCATTCGTATGTAGAGGTAGGTGTAGCCCAGCCAATTGACGGCATCCCGCAGATTCGAAACTGTGCCCAGCACAATTTCGGCATTCAAAAGATCAGGAAGACGTGAAACCAGCTGACTCTCAATAGGTAGTTGTTGATTCATAAGGGAGAGGTAGTATTGGAGCTCCGTATGGTTTGTGATGAGGATGCCTTCGCCCTTAGTGTCGTATTGAGGACGTCCTGCACGGCCCAGCATTTGCATCACGTCCAGTGGACCCAACTCCGTCCACTTTCCTTTCTCCGGATTGTAGACCTGTTAAACGACAGTATTCAACTAGAGTTCAAGTACTTACTATTAGTACAAAAGCGTTGAAGCGAGCATACCTGAGTGCCCTTTATAATGACCGTGTGTGCAGGCAAGTTGACACCCCAGGCCAGAGTGGCGGTGGAGACAAGAACTTGGATATGTCGATCTGCGAAGAGGTCTTCAACAAGAGTACGATCTACACGACTCATACCAGCGTGATGCATAGCGAAGCCGTAAGGCAGTAGGTCCTTCAACTCGGAATTCTTCACCTGCTCGGCCTCTTGACGCAAGACCATGGTAGAGGCGTTCTTATCCTTCATGAAGAGTCCCAGAGTGTCCTTCTCTAGGCACATGTCACGCACAGCCCGCGCCGTCTTGCCTGTCTCCTTGCGTGAGTGTACAAACACGAGGATCTGATTGCGACCCGCATGCTCCACCACCTTGTCATAGACGATCTCATTCATCAATTGGAAACGCTTTACCGCCTTCTTCTCCGTTATGCCAATATACTGCTGCTCCAACGGAACAGGACGGAAGCTAAAAAGCAAAGCAAAAGACTACTTATCCATTGGCCACAGACTCAGATTCAAATAAGTTATTTGGATCCATTTACTACTATAAAAATAATAAATCTTTTTTAAACTTTAAAGCGTGACTTAGTGATCGGCTGCCGAACTCCAAAATCAGTTATATCAAGTTCGGCAGAGAGAAAGTACTGGGTGTCCATTGATGAGAAACAGAAAGCAAAGTTAAGAAAATAATAAATGTAATGCACAATAAGAACTTCCACGTCCTATCTACACGGACCTAGAAATGAGAGGTCCTACCTAGGGTAAGACAAGTTTCCCAAATTATACCCCAACGATTGACGGAGTTTAGCCCTCGTAAGATGAAGAGTTTTATTCCAAATAAGATAGAAACTTACCTTTGGGAATCAAGCCAAACTATGACGCCAATTCGGACAAGTGGTGGTGAACAGAAATGGACGAGGTTTTAATCATGCTACTTATCGCACTTAAATATACTTAGTCTAGTCCTGGGTACCAAAGTTAAAAGATGTCTGTAGCTTGTAGCTAGCGTTACTAATAGCCAGTATGATTTAAGAAAAATAGCTAGTACTTAAAATGAACTAGTGTTGACTTGGCAAAATCGAACTAAAACACAAATGCCGAAAGTAAATTTATTATCAAATGTAAAAACATGCAAAGCGACCAGAAAAATAATTGTAAATCACCGAAGAGGATGCTAGAGAGGAGCTTTGTGAAAAGAAACTACAGGAAAACCTACCTGTTGTCAAAATAAAAGAGACCTTTTTCAACATCGACCCGAAGGAAAGTGGCAACGTCGGTGTAGTTAGGGAGAGTAGCGCTAAGCCCAACTAGGCGAATGGTGTCAGGGCTGGCGACGGCGGCACCAGAAACGCTGATGCCGCTGGCAGCGGAGGCCTCGGTGGCGCGCAATGTCCTCGCCACGATAGCCTCGAGGATGGGCCCACGGTCGTCGTGGAGAAGGTGCACTTCGTCGAAGATTATCAAACGCACCAAATTGATGTAGGCACGCTCATCACCGCCCCGACGTGTCACCACGTCCCACTTCTCCGGAGTGCAAACGATCACCTGCGTCTCAAGGATCTGCTCTCGGCTTAACTGATGGTCGCCAGTCAGCTCGTCCACTTTAATGCCGTAGCTGCTCAAGCGCTAAAGGCATGCAACCAAAGAGTAAATCAAGCTATGACATCATAACATGATGACGGCTTCAGTGGGATTACTAGATGCGTTTAATTTCCGTAAGCATACATAACACTTCAAATCTGACTCACTTTATTGAAAGTGCCGACCATTTCCTGAACTAGGGACCGCATAGGGGCAATGTAGATGATTTTGAAGTTCTCCTTATTGATGCTACCATCGGCACTAATGTGATGTCCAATTTCGTGCATAATGCAGAGAAGAGCGACGTTAGTTTTACCAGCACCCTGAAACGGAATGGTTGAGGTAAGAAAGACTTACAATAGGCCTTAGAAAAGGAATCACTCACCGTTGGAGCACAAAGTAACAGATTTTCATCCGTTTTCATGGCAGCGTTGTAAAGACGAGTCTGAATTCGATTGAGGGTTTTCAGGCCATCGAAGGCCGCTTTTGCATAAGCCGGGAGCTTCTCAATCTTTAGAAGAGTCTCGTCTTGGTCGAACGGTTTGGATCGAAGTGCGGGCACGTGCACTTCTTCATAGCCTTTCTTCTGCGTCCGGAATGAGCCCTCCGGCAGCTGACATCGTTTGTTAGCCATCAAGTGACCGCCTTGAGTAAACGTCAAATTTACCAGATCGACAACATTAGCAACTAGGCCTCTTCCATCGTCGGACGAGCCATTACTTCCGTCTCCATCGCCCTTTGAACTCTCCTAATTAAAGTGCTTGTTACGCAAAAGGCAGATAAAAACCATGGGACAAAGAACCAAGAACACATACGCGAAGGCGGGTAACTCTCTGATTAGCCTTTCGATTGCGTTCATCCGCAACGTTATCAGATGGGGCGTTAGTTTCACGCAACTGTTTCAGAATTAGCGAGAGCTTTGGATCACTCCTCATTTTGGTTTCCACTTCGGCTCGTTCTTGCGGCGACTGGGCTTGGGCAAGAAGAGTACAATACAGGATCATTGACGGGTAGCGACGAAGAACACGAAGAAAATCAAACTGCTCATAACCAATGCATCGAACCAGGCGGTTTTCCAAATCGCGATCATCAGTAGCCATCTTCAAGATATCAAGGCACTCTTGCGCTTTTTTTTGAGCCAAAATGGGGTCCTGAAAACGGCCCAAGTATTTCTAAGGACTCCATGAAATTACATTTGATGCTTCAAATGCTCGCAAACGATACCTTGCAGTGCTTTGAGACATTTCGTTGGAGCCAAAAGGCATCGATATCGCGAGGATGAAGTGTGTCAACATCGCTCTTCGATCCTGAGGCCTCATCAGTAGCTTTCGATTGAAGAGTCATTTCTTCCCCTGCCTCTTCACCATCAATATCGTCATCATCATCGTCCTTGATCTCATACTGAGTGTCATCTTCATCCTTGAAACACAATCAGAGCATAAGCACAAAGGATCTACCTCTTGATCCGATTCTTCAAACTGAACATTGACACCATAAGCTTCGTCTATGTTTTCTTCACCGGTTTCATCATTATCATCTTTCCAATCTGTTATTTTCTTGCCGAGGCTTACAATTATGTTGTAGCGCTCATCGGCCAAGGGACCTACACAGCATATGTCTAAAACTAACCACTTACCAATCAGACTTTCTACTTCTTTACGTCGTTCTTTGTCTCTAAGCTTATTGTTTTTCAGTGCAGCCAATACCTCATCGGCGGCGCCGCAAAGAATTTCACGCGACTGATCCCCAAGTGCTTCCTGAATGCAATGTAGAATGTACTCGTAAGTCTTGCGTGTCTCCGGAGTTTTCGGTCTATACAAAACACCGACAACTTCGTCGAGATCATCACTTAAGAGAGTAACTGCCTTCAGTCTCATTTCATCATATTCCTCTTCTCCCAATTTACGACGCTTAGCTTTCTTCTCTTCCAGCATACTTGGTCTAGTACGTTGGGCTTTGCTCCCCATATCCTCAATACGTATTTTCCCGGCAAGAGAAAGAACTTCACCAGTAGACTCGTCGCGTGAGCGACGATCTATTAAAGACCGATCTGCAGTCATGACCAAGTTCGAATTGATATTGTACTCAAACTGCAAACTTCTTGCAGCTTGATCAGCCATTGTTATCTATTGCAAACGAGACAGACACCAAGTGCCCCGACGTTTCAAAAGTACCCCAACTCAAACATCCGTTAAAACAAAGTTTGAAACAGCTTATTTTTATTTATTATCCTATTTAACAATTTAACATAAGAAAAATTATAGCTGCTTTTTACACTTAGGGCGTATTAGGCTTTATTTTGTTTGTACTGACCGTGCAGGCGCCACCACTTTGCAATAAAGTCGAGCGTCTCGCCTCATGGCGCTGTTTAGAACGGCGGGGAAATTTGTGAAATTGTGTACGTCTCTTCCACTGTGGTCATTCCTTTTTTAAAGATTCGGATTCTTTTAAGCTTACTCGGTCCATACATGTCTCGACACAGATGCTAGTGAAAGACTACTACAAAATATTGGGAGTTAGCAAGGGGGCGTCGCAGTCCGATATCAAAAAGGCGTACTATCAGGTTTGCTGACTTTATGGTGATGTATGCCTTACTAGCTTGCAAAGAAGTATCACCCGGACATAAATAAGTCCGATAAATCTGCAGCACAAAAGTTCGCCGAAGTCAGTGAAGCCTACGAAGTAATTTATGCTCCTAAATTTCATGCTGCCTTAGGTTCTAGGCGATGAAGAAAAGAGAAGATCCTATGATTCTTTTGGTGGGACCTCTCCCGGTGGTTTTTCTGGTTCAGCTAGCAGTTTCGAGAACTTCACGTCGCACTTTGATCCAGAAGAACTATTCCGTCGGATTTTCAGAGATAGTGATTTTGCCTATCAAGAATGGAGTTCTGGAGATCGTAATTTTGCCGAGTCTATTTTTGGATTCAATACTACAAGGGAGGTTGTAGTCAACCTCTCCTTCGAAGACGTATGTCGCTGGTTGTTTTTTGGGTTTCGGTTCCTTCTTAACTGCTTCCGGTCTTCCTAAAGTCTTATCTTTACTTCATTGGGTTATAGGCTGCCAAGGGTGTTACACGCGAAATCGTCATCAATGTTGTTGTACCATGTACCACGTGTGAGGGATCGCGGTGCCAACCGGGAACTGGGATGACTACCTGTCCCAATTGCAGTGGCTCAGGCCATGAAACAGTCAGCACAGGACCCTTTGTTCTCCGGTCTACCTGTCGTCGGTGCTCCGGTAGTGGTAGCGTGGTTCGGTACCCTTGTCGCGCATGTAATGGGACGGGCCAAACCATTGGCAGAGAACAGGTTAAGGTCGCTATTCCACCAGGTGTTGAAGACGGTCAGGTCTTGCGAGTTTCGGTGGGCAACGGGCGAAACGGAGCCCGCTATAAGTCGTCGCAAGAGCTGTTCGTCACTGTCCGAGTGGAGGCAAGTCCTAATTTTAGACGTGACGGTGCAGACGTCCACTCGAATGTGACAATAACCCTGGCTCAAGCGGCGCTCGGTGGGAAGATCAGAATCCCGGGTATTTATGAGCAGGTTTTGGTGACGGTATGTTGTATTGAAAAGTAAGAAACGTAATTGTGACATCCTTTACTTCATTTTTTTAAATACAGATCCCTCCTGGGTCCTCGAGTCATGATAGGATTCGTCTACCTGGGAAAGGCATCAGTCGTGTAAACGGGCGTGGCTACGGTGATCATTATGTGCATCTTCGTATCAGTACGCCGAAGTAAGCGCAAGTGCTTTGTAGTTGTTTTTTATCTCTACGGCCTAATTCATCTATCCAGAACTTGTAATTGCGCTCTTTATGACCTGCTTTATTTTCTAGGCAACTCTCGGAGCTTCAGCGAGCTCTTCTACTGGCCTTCGCTGAAACCGAAACGAACGTCAAAGGTTCTGTGGACGGCGTTGCAACAACCGAATCAGGTATGATTTCCTCCTAAAGTACTTGCTGCGTGAAAATGGTTAAGTGTGTATCAGTATGGGTGCAATCTTTTCGGGACGGGGTATCAGCTGCTTGAGGAAAATGTTAGCGTCTTCGTATGATTCGTCACTGAGCACTGTCACTCTCCGACTTTAGCCCTCTCCCGACTACACCAAACCCTCACGAAATTGAGTAGCAGGGACGTTGGCCGATCAGGCAACAGTGCTACGGCCTCGGGAAGGTACGATGATGGTGATTATAATGATGATTGGATATCTCGCGTCACAAGTGGAGCAAAACGAGCCTTTTCTGCTGCAAAGGATTTTATAGGCGGTGGCACCAAGCACTGAGATAAACGTGTACGCCTAGCTTTCTCCCTATTTGTCTGCTTTTGAAAATGTATTTGTGAAATCTGCCCATTGGAAGCACTTAAGGCCTGTCGTTCTCACTATTAACTGCAATATTTCGTTTGTGACTGCGCTTTACTCCTCAAATCTGCAAGTTCGAGATATCTAGGCCAGTGGACCGTCCTCTTGCAGGAGTGGCAGTGAAACCTTTGGCCGAGATCATGTTTTAGGTGCTACTTCTCATAGGCTCAACCCTTCGCCAAAGCACGGGCGAAGCTGCTATTGTCGGCTAATGGGGGACTACGACACTTCCCATCGGTACCACTGCATTCCATCTATTTTAGCTGGCCGCCACGCAATTGACAACACTCAGGGCTTTCTACTCTCCCGGATTCGGGCTGCCGTGGCAGGCAATCCTCCCCCCATAGAAAAAAGAACCGATTCCAAGGGCCAATCCTCAGCGCGCTCACCCAACCCACCGTGCGACGAAAATTCTCCTCCCGATGACGAGGAACGCGAGGTGCTCCCCTAGACAAGCGTTTGTTCATAAAATCCACTGTCCATCCATACAACCATCCCGTTCCGTAACCTCCCACATCGTACGATTTTAGTGTTGCCCCAACCGTCTGTTCGCCCACCCCCTGTCACGAGCGGTCGCGAGGATAGTTGATGCTCAATTGCCCTTGACTCATTTTGGGATGGGGACGATGGTAAACCAACCTGTAAAGTAGAACCTAGTTCCGGTAAGATTTTTCTTGAAACGGCTTTGAGACCACTGCCTCGATGGCATAATCGCTTCCGAAGCGGACGCTTGTTTGGGTGTTTTATGCACGGTTGGGTAGTGCACATTCACCTAGCTAGTTATCAGCTACACGTACTTCAGTTCTGAGAATTACTTTTTTAAGAAGTATATTTACAGACATCCCAATGGAGTAATTACAATCCCACAGTCACACTGAAGTGAGGTCAACGGGTACGTCTGCTGCCAATCCGCCACTAACATCTTTTACGTCAGCATCGTTACCTGAATTGAAAAAAAAGAGTGGGACGCCCGCTTAGGTAATGAAAACGACTATGAAACAAGCCCAAAAGGTCTCGATATTACTTAAGGCAGAAAGAGGGCGGTGGCTGTCATACTTGTTTCACTTGACGTTTCCACCTTGGGCATTCTGTCGGAAATATTTTCGTTTGGAGGGGGGTCTTCTGTTCGTAATTCAGGAGGACGAGACGACATTGTAATTATGCTTCCACCAGTGGGAGGAAGGACGTTGGCTTGAGCTCGGACGAATCCGCTCTTCTTCGGCTGTGCATGCTCATCTTCAGCAACAGGCACCCATTTGTAGATCAGCATCGACGTATCTTTAACAGGAACCCATTTCTTTTCCCTACAAAAGGCACTAATCTTCAATCATTTCTTGCACAATTGCTAATGCAGTAAAATGTTATGCCAAGCACAGCGACAACTCTTTACGTCCAGAAAAATGAGATACTATGGGAATGGTGGTGTGGCACATTATGACGTAGAGAATGCTATTATTACCCTGCAAATAGAAATCTCATTTACCATCTTTGAACCTTTTCCGATGACTTGTGAACTCTTCTATTATCATCCCTTGCGCGACTGCGCGTTTCTGCTCGAAGTGCTCTAGCGAACATGGTAAGATGAGTAAATAAACGAGACTTGAAAGAAACAGTCGCTAGACGCCTATTGGTGGATGCAGCCCTTTTAATTACGGCCCCCTTCGACATGAACAAACAAAGAAATTAGATTATGACGTTATCTTTTTTGAAGATTTCTAAGTGACTCAGGACCATCATGTTTGCAAATGTATATTTAGGTTGTATGTATTTAGAGGTCAGTTTTACAGCCGCCCCGAAGAGCATATAACCCTTATTATTCATTGGTTAAGTTTTTTATCTTTATGCTGATTTAATACCGGACAACTTTGTTTAAAAATCAGAAAAATTGACTTTCGCACTAATTTTAGAGGGGAATTCATCACAAAAACAAGTAGTATCCAATCGGCAAATGCGCATTTACTTTCTTTTCGAAGACCTCTAAAGTCCACATGACAAAATTTATTAACTGTAAGCAGTGTGATGCAATTTGCAAACGACGACTGGCGAGGAGTAGCAGTATCTTCCTCCTTGGACCTCAAACTTTTGAAGGAGCAAACTGACTGACTGGGTAATTTCAATGGCAGCCATTAGTGGGGTAAATACGGCTCATGAGTAAGTGCGCTCTGAGCTCTTGTCTATCCCGAGGAATCATGACAAAGACTTCGCCATGAGATTTGCCTCCTCCAAACGTTTCTCACCTAAAAGGTACATTCAAACAAAATATTGCAATACCATGCTACCCCACGACGCATTGCTAACCCCCCAGGTAGTATAAAACGGACAAACACCTTACTTTTTGCCAGTTCAAGGATCCACTTTTTGTGATGCCTACTTTGATTAAACTTAAGTGAAGAAAATAATGCATGCAATGCAACGTTCTTGAAGCAACTGTCATGAGCTATCGATATGGTGGGTATTTCAAAGTTGTCAAAAATCAAACTCGTTGCTCTGTTTGGGTTGTAGCGTCTTGAAACTTCTCTGCTGTTGTAGCAAGCCAATGGTTGAAAGGCGGTTAGCATGATTCGAATACATCCTCTCAGGGCGGATCAAAATCTGAGTGGACTCAGGAACCCATGTAGTTAAGCAAAATAGCAAACCACTATAGCGTCCCTCTAGAAACAGGATATTAAGGGTCCCTGTCAGGGAAGATTTTTGACATGAATACATGGAATAGGCATTGTTTAGCTCAGAATAACCTTCCCTGAAGTCATGTTTGTGTAATTCAAGAGATCGATTACTTTGTTTGTGTTAAACCCTTTAACGGCTAACATTCTCATATCATTCGCCTCAGCGAACACTTATGCCTTTTTGATGGTTTATATGGAATTCAAAATCGGTATATTTGTGTTAATGCTATATCACAGCATTTGAACACGGGAATGCAAGGCTTGGTATAAGGTTACATAGCTCGGTTTTTTAAGATTCATCTGAACCTAATGTGGGCACCTTACTGTCCTGCCGTTTCACTTTTAAGTCATTCACAACTGCATTTAGTAGCAAAAAAGTTTAATACGCCAACATTAATGGCGGCTAAATATGACACGGTTGGGGGAAGGGGGAGGGGGGAAGAGGAGACAAGTGGACTTCCAGACGCATGGTCTGATTGGCAATGGTGGAAAACGGAAAAAGCACGAACACGCTATTAGTCGTGTCCTTTTCTTGCCATAAATCATGCCCCGCCTTTCGGGTGCCTGTCTTCTCCCCTGATTAAACGGCATGCAAGTCGAGCATAAATAAAATCTGCTAGGTCAAAACGCCAGAATGGACCATTTGAATTGACGCGAATGAGTGCGTGGAAAAGCGATTCCATTCTAAATCTAGTCAAGTGGGAAGTGATGTCAGTCAATTTCTTTATCAATCGCAAGTGTGCCACTTTCTAAATAGGCGCCACCTGACTACCAAAAGTTGAAGCTTAATATTTGTATGGTCCATCTCTAAGAAATAAAAGGCTGTTAGTAATCCTTAGACAATAAAAATCTATCAGTAGTTTTTAATATTTTGCGGAGAGCGGATTTTGAAGCACGTGTGTTAATTAATTCTAAAAGAAGTTCCGATAAAATCAATTTTCCGTTCAAGGTCGCAGAAATTTGAAGA